AAAAGAGAAACTGCCACAGGTTTGAGGCCATCCTGGTGTACATTGAAGACTATCCAGGGCTCAAGACTGGAGAGATGGCTCAAGAGTGAGAGCAATGATCGTTCTACCAAAAGACCTGGGTTCAATTCCCAATACAACATGGCAGCTCACACGTGTCTGTAACTGTCAGGGCCAAGGGATCTGACACCTTCACACAGACATACATGGAGCCAAAACACAAATGCACATAAAAATGAATAAATCTTTTTTTTTTTTTTTTTAAAGAGAATTCCAGGGCCTTGTAGCAAGATCCTGCCTCATAAAACAACAGCAACAAAAATCTTCATATTAAAAATGTTTAGCCCAGGAGAGAGAGTTGCTGATTTGCCTAAAACAATTAGCCATAACTATCCAAAACATCCCAGAGTGGATCAAAACCCTATGTTTCAGAACCCATTTGACAACTCAAGTATAAAGCAAAGGGTTTGACCCAGCTAAGATGTCAAGTTGCGGTTGTCAGTGTTTGCTTCAGTTCATCTTTTTGGGTAGCTTCTGTGTAAATTACACAAAATAAGGTAGCTCGTTTTATTTTATTTTATTGTTGATTTGAAACAAGACCTTGCTATGAAGCCAGGGTGGCCTTGAATTTGATATCCTCCAGCCTTAGCTGGAGTGCCAGGATTGCAGTCATGTGCCACCACGCTTAGCTAGTGTGTGTGTGTGTGTGTGTGTGTGTGTGTGTGTGTGTGTGTGTTAATGGTTTCATGTACCCCAGGCTGGCCTCTAACTCCCTAAATCCTTAAGTAGTTGAGAGTGACTTTAAACCTCTAATCCTCTTCCATAACCTAAATGTACTAGGATTGCAGATGCCCGCTTTACAACTGGTGCCTTTGGGGGTGGGGGCCTTTTTTCCTTTCTCTTTTTGACAAGGTCTCACTGTGCAGCCTTGGCTAGCCTGAAACTTGCTATGTAGACCAGGCTGACCTAGAACTCAGATTCACTTGGCTCTGCCTCCCACGTGCTAAGATTAAGGCATGTGCCACCACACTCAGCCAAGCCAGTGCCTTTTAAAATGTAGATTCTACATATGAGAGAAAATGTGTTCATCAATTTGAATCTGGCATATTTCACTTCATGTGATAATCTCCAACTGAATCCACCGTGCTACAAAGCGTGTTTTCAAACTATACCATTGTGTATATATCTGCATGTTCTCTGTTTATCCACTGGTGGGCCTTTAGCTTGATTCCAGAGTTTAGCTGTTGTGCAGTGTTGCAGTAAACATGCGTGAGCAGGTATCTCGAATATGTGTTGACTTTGGTTCATTCTGACATACAGGCATGAATGCTACACTGGAGCCTTTGGTAGTCCTGTTTCTTTTTGCTTGTTTGTGTATATAATATTTTTAATTTCTTCTTTGAGAATTTGGTACAGGTATACACTGTATTTTGATCATAGCCACCCTCTACTCCCTTCTCTAACTTCCCCCGAATTCACCAACACATCCTTTTCGGGCTTTCATGACCTCTTTCCTCCCCCTTGCCCCTTGTATCCCATTAAGTGCAAATAGTACTGCCCTTATGCAGATGGCCGAGCAGATGGGGTTATCCACTGGAACACAGGCACCCTTCTAGTAACCACATTTGGCTTGATAAAAACACAGAATTTCAGGCACAGCTGTCAACCTGCTAGACAGAAATCAGCATAATGAGGTCAGATGATTCATAGGCAAAGAGAGGTTCCAGAAACACCTGGAATACACAGTGAAATGTGCTTATAAGATGTTAAGAGTGTGTGTTGAACGTTCGGAACCCCATGGAGTGCTGTTACCACCCTTGTTTGACAAAGAACCGGAGATAGAGAGATGGCTCAGCAGTTAAGGACCCTGAATGAGGGGCTAGAGAGATGGCTCAGAGGTTGAAGGTACTAAATGTTCTTCTAAAGGACCAGGGTTCAATTACCAGCACCCCACATGACAGCTCTCACCCTCCTGTAACTCCAGTTCCAGGGGATCTAACACCCTCACAGAGACATATGCAGGCAAAAGACCAATGCACATAAAATAAAAATAAGCATTGAAGACAATAACAGAAAAACAAAAACCCTGAATGATCTTGCAAAGGACCTGAACTGAGTTCCCAGCACCCACATGATGGTTCACAGCTGCCTGTACCTCCAGTTCCAGGGGATCTGACACCCTCTTCTTACCTCCGTGGGCTCCTGCAGACATGTGGCGCACATAACTCATGCAGGCAAATATACATAAATATTATTTAAAAGGTGAAATTCTTGCCTAGCTGACAGTGAGCTCAGCTCCCGATCTCACTAGAAGGCCGGGAGAGTGCATTCAACAGTCGGAATGACGGCTGGAAAGTGGTAGGTGGTGGTGAAAGTGCCCCAGATCCCACTTCTCTGCAAGTCAGCTGAGAGTAGTGCTGCTGACGGGGAGTAGCAGGAAGAAGCTGAGGGGGTGGGAGTGGCCAGGTCCTGCAGCTCCAGCTCCAGCTGTCACCACAGTGTTGACATGTTCTCCCATGAGGACAGAGACGGGCAACTATTGTGTGCTGTTTGTGTGGGTAACAGAAATCACGAAGTAAGTCAGGCGTGCTCCTCTCCAGCCTGCCCACCTCTAAGTGGGCTGCGGTGCTTCTTGGCAAAGTTCTCCTCTATACCCTCTCTGTGTTGCTGCATGCCTGTTCTAGAAGATCTAGCCTACTTTACGAAGCCCGCCTGGTCTAAGCCCAGGAATGATGGATTGTGTTTGTGGTTCTGAGTCCCTTCACATTAGCTAAGCGAGAGAAGCAGAAGTTTAAACTTTATCATCGGATCTGAGGGTATAGCTCAGGGGTAGAGTTCTTGCCAAGCAATCTCAAGCCTGGGGTTCAATCCTCAATCTATAGCAAAAGGTGGATGAGGTCTGTCTCCACAGAGAGCAAAAATGTCACCAGGTCATTAACAAAAGCCACTCCCAGCCTTCTAGGGGGAAGATAGGTATTTTATCCTCTCCATTGAGAAGAGGCCTCTGTGTGTTAACATTCCCGGTTTTACTTACTGCTTCTCTGTGAGTGCTAGGGCCTCTGGGTGTCCCCCCAAAAACTCCTCCCTTCGGATTTTTTTTTTAAACCTTTAAAAATATGTTTATTCTTATGTATACGAATGATCTGTCTTCTCACACAGCAGAAGAGGGCATCAGATCCTATCACAAATGGTTATGAGCCACATTGTGCTTGGAATTGAACTCAGGACCTCTGGAATGGCAGCTAGTGTTCTTAACCGCTGAGTTATTTCTCCAACCCTCTATTTAAAAAAAGGAAGAAAGAAGGAAAGGAAGGAAGGAAGGAAGAAAGGAAGGAAGGAAGGAAGGAAGGAAGGAAGGAAGGAAGGAAAGAAAAATAGTGTCCAAAGTTGAATTTATTATCTCTGTAGCTAGTGTAGTTAATACAGGCAAGCATGAACTGTAAGAATAGCTAACAGAGGACTGAGACAAAAACCGTCCTCAGCTCATCCATCTCTTAATTAATTTCTGCTAATATTTTTTCGGTGAGCAAAATAGAGGTAGCGAAGCACTGCGGTGCCGGACTACTGTCGTGCCTCGACAATATTAGACGCATTCATTATTTGTTTATTATTTTTAAAGCAAGGAAGCTGAGCTGCAGGGGTGCATAAAGCCTTTCTTCCACTTGTGTCTCATTTCCATTTCTATCCTCAAACTTCATATTCCATGCATTTCTGTTAACTCCATTCTCGAGTACTTCATTCCAAATGTTTTCTTCCACTATATTCTTCCGACACTTAAAATTCTTTTGCAACATTCTTTTCCTCTCAAGTCAGGCCGCTTTCCGTTCTCCATGCATCTCTCTCCTTCATGTGCTGATTAATGCATGCATTTAACCAGGGTCCACAGTTATCCATTATGACCGTAAGATTCTGATTCTTCTGGTCCAGCCAATAAACTATCATCCAAAATTAAATAATCGGCTGTCAGTTAAAATAGTCAAATAGCTGAGAAATACCTAATAAAAGCTGATTGATGAGATTGATGACAGTAAGTTTAGACTTTTGTGCTGTATAACTCAGGGTAGGTAAAATCTTGTTTGTGGAGCATGTGGAATTTGTGTGAAAACATGCTCTTTGTCCTTGTCAAAAGCCACCTACAAAAGTATAAAAGCGATCTCTATAGAATTTTAAGATGTAACTTTAGGCAATACCCATGGAGTATTTTTGTAGAATCTTAAAAAGGGGGTTGTTTTTTGAAGAGCCCGAGTAACATGATAATGTGACCTGTCAGTTACTAACAGTGTGGAACAAAGAATTTATCTGCATTTTATTTAGTGGAAAAAAATATTTTTGTAGGCCCTTTATCACCCTTTATCAGTAAGAGATTGTTTCTATGAGTTACCGCCTTAGCAACCACATTATTTAATAAGATAATAACCTGCTCTGTTTCAGGTGTTACATTTTTATAGAATTTCACTGGAAGTTTCCAGAAAGCAACCTAAAGAGCAGAGCTAAATCTTCAGTAGTGACAAACAGACAAGAGCATACCCAAAGGCTGGTCTTGGTGGCCCACGCCTTTAGACCCAGCATTCAGGAGGCAGAGGCAGGTGAATCTGAGAGTTCAGGGCCAGCCTGGTCTACAAAGTGAGTTTCAAGACAACCAGGGCTGTTACACAGAGAAACCTTATCTCCAAGAGAGAAAAAAAAGGGGGGGCAGGTACTCAATCCTATAGTTCAAAATTATGAATTTTGCTCTTTTAGTTTATTTACTATGAAAATGAAGCATTGATTTAAAGCATTAATTAGGCAATCAAGAGAAGAGAACATCCTTCATTTAACGAATGACTAATACTCTCTGGAAACCGAAACATCATTGGCTTAGTGCTTTATGCCCTGGTTGTGATTGTTTCTGTATTAAATCAGACTAGGCTTTCTCTTCCGGTCCCAGACGCTGCAGGAGCCGCCGGTTACTGTGCAGACATGGCCAAGTCCAAGAACCACAACACACACAACCAGTCCCACAAATGGCACAAAAATGGCATCAAGAAAGCCCGGTCACAAGATATGAATCTCTTAAGGGGGTGGACCCCAAGTTCCTGAGGAACATGCGCTTTGGCAAGAAGCACAAGAAACGCCTGAAGAAGACGCAGGCAAACAACGCAAAAGCAGTGAGTGCGCGAGCAGAGGCCATCAAGATCCTTGTGGAGCCTGTGGCCGTTAAGCCCAAGATGCTGAAGGGCCACCGCCGCAAACTCAGCCTTCTGGCTTTCATCGCTCACCCCAAGTTTAGGAAGCGGATTCGAAGCTACACAGCCAAGGGTCATAGGCTCTGCCGACCAAAGCCCAAGATTCAAACCAAGACAGAGGCCGCAGCTCCAGCTAAGGCCCAGACTTCACCCCCAAGCTTAGGCTCCCAAAAGTGCCCAGTGGAGGCCCCATAGGAAAGGCTTCTGCCAATGTGAAGACAGACAGACTGGTATGACACACCCACCTACACACAATTTACAGATGACCAGTGTCCTATGCTGTTTAGATGAATAAATCTGAGGCAAGATCTGTTAAGAAGAAAAGAGAGAGAAGAAAGAAAGAGAGAGAGAGAAAGAAAAGAAAGAAAGAAAAAGAAAGATGAAGAAAGAGAAGAGGAGAGGAAGAAGTTAGACTTGTTTTGATTTTTTTTTTCTCTTAGGAAGGGACCATTTATACTGAATTTATTCCTGCTATTAGAGAAAACCAAAAAGCATTTAAACAAAAATCAAGCAAACAAATGTGTAAGGCTTTTCTGTGAGTACAAGGACTTCCGTGTCCCCAACAAAAGTCTTTTTAAATCTTAACTCCAGATTCCTCTCTGTCTTAATGGACTTGGGCTTTCTCAACTGCTGTCCTGTGCGGAAGTACTGGCAAGGTTCTGTATGGACACTAAAAGGTACTCATGTAGCTATTGAAGTTTAAATAAAACTGGAATGTAAACACCAGTTCTCCTGAAACTCTCTTCATATTTTGTTGTGTGGAGGCTGGGGCTCCTGTAGCCTTGTTTGGCCTTGTAATCTTTACATATCCAAGGATGACTTTGAATTTCATATCGTCCGACTTTAACACTGGGATTATATGAGGCCTAGTTTTTTTGTTTTGTTTTGTTTTGGTTGGTTGGTTTGGTTTGGTTTGGTTTTCCAACTTGACACAAGCTAGGGTCATTGCAGTAGAAGAAATCTCAAATGAGAAAATAATTCCATCGGGTTGACCTGTAGGTAAGTCTGGGGACATTTTCTTGACTGATGATTGTGTTGGGTTTCAGACCCAGGACAAGTGGCTGAGGTGCATATTTAACATACCAAAGTGCACTTGGCCTCTGGGTTCTCCTGGCATCCCTCAGTCCCTGCCTGTTATAGGGCTGGCATATCCTGCCCTCTGTGCTGAACCTTCCAGCCCAGGGTCTGGGCTTCCTCTCCCCTAGAGGCTCTTCACTACATAGTCCAGACTCTCTCTCTCTCTGCATGTGCTCTTTGTATTTCCCTCTCTCTGTTCTTCTCTGCATGGCAGCTTCCCTGGCCTCATTCCATGGACCCATCTGAGAGCTACCCCCAATAAACCTGTCTTTGTACTTTAATTTGACCTGAATTGGCTCATTGACTTGAATTGTCAGCGGAGATAACCTATCAGATGACTCATTTTGTCATTGGAGATAACCTGTCAGATTGGTGTGGAAGAAAGGGCCCAGCTCACTGTGAGAGCTTGGCCAAGTGGTCCATGGAAGACAACAGCCTGAGGGGTGGAGACATAGATAGCTCAGCGCTTAAGAACCTACTTGTCTGAAGGATTTGTGGTGGCTTGTGTGTCTGTAACTCCAGTCCCAGGGGATCCAATACTCTTTTCTGCCTATGCAGGTACATGGCACACAAACACACATGCAGGCAAAATACCCATAATCATTAAATTAAAAAAAAAAAAAAAAAAAAACAGGCTGAGCAAGCCCTGAGGAGGGACCTAGTAAGCAGCATTCCTTTGTGGCCTCTGCTTCAGTTCCAAGTTCCTGACCTGACTTGCCTCAATCCTGGACTATAATCTACTAGGTGAAACAACCTTTCCACCGCCAGTTGCTTCTGATCATGTTTATCACAGCAATAGAAGCCTAACTAGGACGGCAACCGTGGCCTGATTTTGCAGCGCTTGGGGTCGAACCTTGGGCTCAGTGTGGAGTGGCCAAGAACACTACCTAGTGAGATGCATTCCTGGCCCCAGCGGTCCCCACTTAGAGCGATACTGGCTGCTAAATCAGACAAGGGTGACACACAGCGTTTCCATCATTGTAAAGGTGCCACGACGGGAGACTGCCCTGCCACAACCAAGGCTGGCCAGAGACCAGAGGAAACAACATGAATGAACTGATGTCACTGTCCTCCCACTCGCCAGTGATCTGTCTCACTCAAGAGCAAGCAAGTGGGAGGACAGTGACATCACAAAGCACAGCTCACAATGGCTCCAGAACACCTGAATCACCTGGCCACTTTTCCCCAATCTATGTCGATTCCTGAAGACTCTACACATGTAGTTCCTGGAGCTGCTGTTTTAAAATGTCAACATTTCCAACTGCAACCTCTTCCTGGGACAACCTCTTAAGCGCCCTTGCTCGCAGCTCAATATGGAATTGGTTACAAGCAACATTTGTGGGAGAGACTGCTGTGCCCCAGCCAACCAATTTGGGGCTACTGGATAACCTCGCGCCAGCTGTGCAAGTCATCCTGGGGATTTCCTTTCTGATTTTGTTGGCAATTGGATTGTTTGCCCTATGGAAACGAAGTGTTCGGTCAATTCAGGTTGTATTCTTTTTGTTCGTTTGGTTTGTTTGTTTGTTTGCTTGCTTGCTTGCTTGCTTGCTTGCTTTTTGAAGACCGGGTTTCTCTGTGTAGCCTTGGCTGTCCTGGACTCATGTTGTAGACCAGGCCTCGCCTCGAACTCACATAGATCTGCCTGCCTCTGCCTCCCAGGTGTGCACCACACCTGGCTTCAGGTTGTATTCTTATAGAGAAGTTTAAGTCTTTTGAGGGGGTGTTTGTTGGGGTTTTGTTGTTCTGAGACAGGGGTGGTGGCTTAGGCTGGCCTTGAACTCATTGTAAAACGAGTCTGACTTCAAATTTGTGATCGTCCTGCTTCGTTAAGCCGTCACTCCTAACTCTCACTCTCGAGGGCGGAGACAGCAACATGCACCTCCATTCCTGACTCAACAGTCAATTTTGTTTATTTCACTTCCATATTACTGCTACCCAGGTTTAAAAAGTCCATGTAAGGAATGAGGGAAGTGAGCCATTTTCTGCCTCTTGAGTTGGTTGAAACTACGCTGTCCTTGAAAACCTCCACCACTTAGGTTGTGAGCATAAAAATACTCTTTCTCACCATGCTGTTTGGCTTCCCTCTATTATAAAATAGATTTGGACAAGTTTGGCACTTGAGAAAGTCATCTGAGCCCAAATTTAACTGACTGCTTGTCTCTGAGAGCCTACCATGTTCATTGGATGGGCAGTGTAGGACAGCCAGGTTCTTGCATGTGTGTGTGTGTGTGTGTGTGTGTGTCTGTGTGTGTGGGGTGTGGTTTTTATTCTTATTGCTACTGATTTTAATTTTTCTGCTGTTTCTCTTTAACTGATAGAGAATTGTGTAAGCTAAATCACCCATTGCTTTCATTATTGTGTTTTAACATGCTAAGTCCCCAGAAACAAATAGGGGATCTTTTAGGGGAATAGAAATTTAACATGCTGGGATCCTAAGAAACATTTGGAGTTGGCATAATTCTATTTAACCCTCAATAATAATAACAATAGCTCGTTTATAACAGGGTCCTCGGTGTTATGGGAAATCTTAATAATTCCATGAAATGGAGTTTTTTTTTTTTTTTTTTCATGTGGGAAATAAGGAAAGGGAGGTGCAATGGAAATTTAAAGAGACAGACTTTAAAGAGGGCTTTTGTTTCATTTTCTCAGGAAGGATTCCTGTAGCTTGGGCTGACCTCAGCTTCATTAACTAGTTAACCTTGGACTAACCTTGGTTTTCCTCATTTCACCTACCAAATGTTGGAATCACAGATAGTCCTGAGGGCTTTCTTAAAGGTTTGATGAGTATACGGAGGTACTCTTACTAAATCATTTTATAGCTTTCCCTTCTTTTCCATTTAGGAATCATGACTGAATGTACTTTCAGGTTTAACTTCAGGAAGCCCTATGTAACAGGCAGAACAGGGGTTATCATGCCCACTTTGGAAGTGGGATAACCTGGCTCCTGCCAAAGGTCGTATTGTTTTGTTAAAGCTGGGAAAGCTGGAGTTTGAACCTAATTTTTAGAGTTCGTTCAATTTTAGCTTTTGTTCAAAAGCTCATATAATAGAATCCAACAAATACACTCAATACAAGATTTTGTGGGGGTGTGTGCACATACATATAAACAGGTTTCAGTTATATAATAAAAGTGTAAGGTAAGAACACAAACTTTCCAGTTTAGCGCTGATACTTGGATACTTGGTACTTGGACACTCTAGGCAGAAACATGACAAAGGAGTCAGGGGTGGTGATACATGACTGAAATTCCATCCTTTGGAAGGTGGGGGTAGGATGATTGGACATTCAAGGTCATCCTTGGCTACAGAGCACGTTGGAGGATTGGCCTAGAATACATGAGAACCCACCTCTAAAAGAAAAGAGGAAAAAATGGGGAAAAAGGTACACAAACAAAAAGGAGTCAAAAAGCAGAGTAAGAGTATGGGTTCAGGGGTCAGACTGCTTGGTATACATTTTGGTGAACTATCTACTCTGAACAGAAATCACTCATTTGACCTCTACTCCGGTTTTTCCTCATCTGTAAAATGGGCATGCTATTAAGTACTGCCTTATAGGGTTATTGCAAGGCTTAATGTGTATAGAATGTGTATTAAGCTTAGCCTGTGTTCATTCAATAAGCAGTGTAGATTGCTATAAGGGGAAAAAGTCATGGTTTTATGCTTATCCTACCAGAAATTTGTTGTACCATATTAAGGCAATTTTTCCATGACCAGTGTCTTAGTTGGGGTTGCTCTTGCTGTGATGAAATACCATAAGTGAAGCAACTTGGGGGGAAAGGGTTCATTTGGCTTACGCTTTCATGTCAGGACAGGAACTCAAGGAGGACAGAATCCTGGAGGCAGGAGCTGGTGCAAAAGTCGTGGAGGGGGGCTGCTTACAGGCTTGCTCCCCAAGGCTTGCTCAGCCTGCTTTCTTGCAGAACCCAGGACCGCCAGCCCAGAGATGGCCCCACCCACAACAGGACGGGACCCTCCCCCATTGATCACCAACTAAGAGACATTTTCTCAATCAAGATTCCCTCCTCTTATGTGACTTTAGCTTGTGTCAAGTTGACATAAAACTATCTAGCACAACCAGGAAATCTGCTTTTTAGACCTCAATTTCTGGATGCCAGTCTTGGCTTTACAAGTTTCGGTCTGTAGCTTTGAGCATTCACAGTCCACACGGGATGGTGTGTCTGCGCAGATGGGTTTTCCTGCAGGAGTAGTTGGTGAGCTGACAAGCTAACTTCTGGCACAGAACCCATCACATGGGAACAGACTTTGAGCAAATGGAATTTAATATTGCTGTTTTTATTAAATACAAATTAAATCCCTGACCTGTCTACCAGTCCAGTTTGTAAGTGATAGTGATCCAAAGATTAAAGGTAGGAAGGCTGGAGAGATGGCTCGGCAAAAGTAAAGATCGCTGGCTACTCTCCCAGAGAAACCCAGCTTTGATTCCTAGTTTTGAACCTTCATGGCAGCTCATAACCATCTGTGACTCCAGTTCCAGAAGATCCAAACCCCTCGTCTGACCATCATGGGCACCAGCGGGGCATGTTTATTTACATACATGCAAAGAAAACACTCATACACTTAAAGTTATAAGTATATCTTTAAAACCTTTTTAAAACAATTTAAAGAAGGTGAGAAAATGTTCTGTTAATGGGAAAGCTCGTCTCGGGAATGCAGGATTGTTGTTACTAGGAGATCATCATTCTGTTTTGTCTCTGTAGCTAACTGTGACATTTCACCTGCATGACCGAGTAACATTCCTCTTGTTTCCTTTTAGAAAATAGTGGTGTTTGTAATTACACTCTACCAGCTTTACAAGAAGGGCTCAGACTTTTTTCAGGCTTTGCTAGCCAACCCAGAAGGAAATGGTCGCCAGCTTCCAGACAGTAGTAATGTCTTTCTGTCAATGGGTCTGCAAGAGAAAATTTTGAAAAAGCTTCAGATGGTGGAAAACAAAGTGAGAGACCTGGAGGGGATGATTGTTGCCCAGAAACCTGTGGTGAAGCGAGACTGCTCCTCTGAGCCGTACTGCAGCTGCTCTGACTGCCAGAGTCCCTTGCCTACGTCAGGGTTTACTTCCACATCTGAAATGTGACGGACTCCAATCTTTTCCAGAAAAGCACTGCTTCCCTCACGTGGGCAGTGGTGTATCAATAAAATAGAGAACTATATTGATCTTATCCTGCAAAGATCTGGTTCCCTCTTCAGCTGGGCCCAGTGACTACTTTGTGTGCGGCCGGGTAATGTTGGGTAATGATAGTTGGAAATGTCTCCGAGGATGGGGACTGTGGCTTGGTGGTAAGTCATTGGCCTGGGGCACACAGGTACGGTGCTGGTTCAGTAGGCCGGGGACCCTTGGGGAAATGCAAGATAACCAGATTGGAGTGGAAGCAGAAAGGAGAGAGGGTAATCAGGGCTGTGACTTTGAGGTCCATGACAGGTCCAGCTGAAGACACTGGAGATGTTGTAACATAAGCCAGTCACAGAGGGCCATGTTTTGTGAATAGGCTGTCCCATGCTGTTCTTGACATAAGAAAAGTATGCAGTCAGAGACCACTGAATTACACAAAGGTGAGCAAAAGTGAGAGTATGCATAAAAGGGGAACAGGGTGGTTTTTTTGTTTGTTTGTTTGTTTGTTTGTTTTGTTTTTGTTTTGTTTTGTTTTAGGCAAGATTTCATTAGGTACCCAGCAGGACCTGGCCTGTGTGTTGTTGGGGGTGGGGGTGGAGGGAGGGGAGTGGGGTTGGGGAGGAGGGATTGTTGCCTGGGTTGTCTGTATGCCGCTTGCTTTCCTGGTTTCCATGGAAGCCAGAAGTTATTGGTAACAGGTAACAGTTTTATAACACGATGGCCATCTCTGGCCCTTAATCCTTTCTGCTCCCTCTTCTTCAATTCTCCCAGAACCTCAGGGGCAAGGTGGTGATTGGCTATGTACCATTTAGGACCGGTAGCTGTAAGTTCCCACGTGGGCACTAGAAATCAAACTCCAGGCCTCTGCAAGAGCAACAAGTGCTCTTAAATCCTGGGTCATTTCTCCATCCCCAAGTATGCTCTTATTTTTATAAACTATGGTTTGCCCAAACATATCCATCTCACTAGGAGATTGATGAGAGAATTTTGCCATTTATGTTTACATATTATCTAAATGTACAAATTGTTTTTATTTCGATTTTTTTGTTTGTGTTGTGACAGGGTTTGTCAGAATTTATAATTGTATATTTCTACTTTTATTATTTATAGTAATATACATAATAATGTTAATGATAGTTCAGAAGAATTCTTTCAGAGCCTCTAGTTACAGGGATTTTTTTTTTTAAAGATAAGGCTTTGCTGTGTAGCCAAGGCTGGCCTCAAACTTGCTGTCCTCCTGTCTCTGATATTCAAGTGCTTGGAACTACAGATGCAAGGCTAACCTGGTCTACACAGCAAGTTCCAGGTCCGTTGGGGTTATGTAGTAACAGTCCATCTCAAAAAAAATTAAATATTCTTTACTTTACAATGTACATTTTGTTGCACACAGAAGTTTAAAAATGTCAAAATTTGCTGGTGGGCAGTGGTGGTGTATGCCTTTAGTACTAGCGCTTGGGAGGGAAGGGAAGGTGGATCTCTGTGAATTTGAGACCAGCTGGAGCTACTGAGTGAGTTTCAGGACAGCCAGGGCTACACACACAAAAAAAACCCTGTCACAACACAACACAAATGAAAAGTATCAAAATATGTTTGACCACTCTAGGGAAGTAGAATGTGTTGATACAAATGGTAATGGTGAGAAGAACAATGTTGAGGCCCTGATCCCTGTTTCTCTCAACCTTGGTCAGAAAAGCTTTTTTGTTCCCCACCCCAGGGCAGGGTTTCTCTGTGTAGCCTTGGCTATCTTGGAATTCACTCTGTAGACCAGGCTGGCCTTGAACTCATAGAGATCTGTCTGCCTTTGCCTCCCTGATTGCTCCTGAGTGCTGGGATTAGTGTTTGCCACAAATGCCTGGCTTGCTTTTTTTTTTTTTTTTATCCATATTTCACGTATATTAATGCTCTGTTTGCATGTACATCTGCATGCCAGAAGAGGGCATTCAGTCCCATTATAGATGATTGTGAGTTACCATGTGGTTGCTGGGAATTGAACTCAAAAACGTTTAACTGCTGAGCCATCTCTCCAGCTCCAGATGGTCAAAGTACTAAGAATAAGTGACTGAGTGCTTAGCTCTAAATGGTACATAACTGTCACCATCTTGTCCCTGAGGTTCTGGGAGCACTGAACAAGAGGGAGCAGAAAGGATTAAGGGTCAGAGATGGCCAGCATGTTATAAAATGCTTTCTTTGGGACATGCCCATTGCACTCATAAACTCACAGTGGCTGCAACAATTGGTACAAGATCAAAACAGTCAAAATTCTAGTATGGATAAGGGCTCACCAGGCCTCATTCCCAGCTAAGGAGTTATTGGCACTGAATGGATGCTGGGTCATTTTTCTCTGGAGGCATGGCTAATGGTGGGTTGCCCATGTTCGCACACCCACGCGAGTGCAAGCAGCATTAATTGGATTTGGTCCGTTTCAAAAAGAAGAGGAGTCAGACTTAGTGACTTGTACCATTAATCCCAGCACTCTGGAGGCAGAGGCCCATGGTTCTCTTTGAGTTCAAGGCCCACCAAAGCTACCAGTGTCTCATTATGTACTCTGGCTGTCCTGGAATTTATTATGTAGACCAGGCTAACTTCAAAGTCATAGAGATCTACCTGCTTCTGCTTCCCAAGTTTGGGAACAAAGGCGTGCGTATGTGTGCATATATATGTAATTTTTGCTTTTCCAGACAACATGTCTCTATGTAGCCCTGGCTGTTTTGTAGCCTTGGTTGTCCTGGAGCTCAGTATATAAACCAGGATGTCCTCCAAGCCATAGAGATCCTCTGTCTTGCCTCCCAAGTGCTGAGATTAAAAGTCTGAGCCATCATACCCAGCCCTGTACACATTTTTAAAAAGCTAGACATGGGGGCTGAGAGCAAAGTATTTGGAAATATGAAGATGGGAACAAACTGTTTCCTTCTTCCTCTTTAATAAGCAAACCGTTAAAAAAGAAAACAATCTTGAAAATTGATGTAGGGTTGGGAACAAACTCCTTCCTCTTCAAAATTTTGTTTGTTTGTTTGTTTGAGGCAGGTTTCTCTGTGTAATAGGGTTTCTCTGTGTAGCCTTGGTTCTCCTGGACTCACTTTCTTGAATTCACAGAGATCGCCTGCCTCTTGAGTGCTGGGATTAGAGTCATATGCTGCCACACCCAGCCTCCTCCTCTATCTTTTTAAATATATTAACGGGAACAATCTTGAAAGCAATCTAGGAGCATTTTCTAATGACAAAAGTGGTTATTTGTTATGGCTTAGATATGAAATATTTCCACTTGGCCCGCGTGTTTCACCCTCAATGATGTACTGTGTTTAGGAGATTGTGGGCCTTTACTAGAAGAAGTTAGATTGCTAGGGCCTTGCTATCTCTCAGCTCTTTTTCTGCCTGGGTCTTTTATTTCCTGGTCCACTGAAGTGTGAGCAAGCAGCCTCAAGCTCCTGCTACCATAGAGACAGCTAGCTGTTGGGGTAATCTACCTGCATACAGACTGTATCCACTAGCTGTGAAGGTGTGTCCCTAGCCCCTCATTTGTCGATTGCTGTGCCTCTAGGGCCAGGTGCTAGTAGGATATATGGCATTGTCATTTCTATAGCCCACATAAGTTTCTACATGTAAGGGTTTGTTGCTTCTTTGCCTGCTCAGAAAGATGATTATCTGAAATTATCCTGTTAAAAGAAAATGGTGGGGGAGGTCACGTAGCCCTCAATCTGGCCAATAGACAACACTAAGAGATGGACAGGGCATAGTCCTACTGCTGATTGGTTCAGAGTGAGAAAGCTGTGGAACCTTTCTCAATATGCTAATAGCTTTTTGTGTGATTTTTAAAATTTTATTTAATTTTTGTATTTTTTTGAGACAGGGTTTCTCTGTATCACTCTGGTTGTCCTGGAACTCGATCTGTAGACCAGGCTGGCCTTGAACTCACAGAGATCCACCTGCTTCTGCCTTCCAACTGTTGGGACTAAAGGTGTGTGCCATCACATCCGGCCTGAAAATTTTTTTGTTTTGTTTTTTGAGACAGGGTTTCTCTGTGTACTTCCTGAATGTCTGGGAACTCTCTCTGTAGACAAGGCTGGCCTTGAATTCACAGAGATCTGCCTGCCTCTGCCTCCCAAGCACTACCATCACCCAGCTGGGATAAAGAGCTGGCAGCTGGAGCTCGGGCAAAGGGAAGGAAGCAGAACAAGAGCAGAACAGGGAAGTTGGGTGGAGTTGAGATGGGTGGCTGTCAAGATGGGTGGCTGAGGGACTGCCCCAGAAACAGGTTAACAGCCTTGTAGTACACAGATGTCTCAATGTCTCTATTGTTAAGCCCCAAGTGGGACACCCCAGAAGCACCAGCAATAACCAGCTACTTCAGATGCTGGAACAGATCCTCACATTGATGCTTTCTGATACTTTGTCAAAGCATCAGAAAGAAAATCAATACCAAGAAGTACAATCTTTGTTGTGATAAACCCGACTGACCATTGGTTCATAAGACTCTCTAACTGGTTAATGGGGGGAATGTGGAAGGGTTTCAAGCTGTGTGCTAGAGGGAGAGTGTGTGCTAGAAGGGTTCTTCGAGCTTTGGAAGAACTTAATGGCTGTTTTGATGGGAGTTTGGAAGATCAGACAGTTAATGCAAATGTAGTCAGTGGCGGCCACCCTCCTGAAATTTCTGAGGGGAATAAGAACTCTGTTGGTAACTGGACAAACATACTTGTATTTCATTATATTGCAGGGACTCTATATTATATGCTGCTAATGGCTTATACGTTAGCAGTCAATCTAGGATGTTCAAGAGGAGCACAAGATTCAGCGGCATTGGTGTATATGAACCCTCATCTGCTACACAGAGGATGGAGATGATGAAGAGAAAAGCACCACCAGGATGGATCTCAGAGATAGAATAGGCCACCTGATGAAAGGAGCCAGACTGACTGAAATGACTGAGTGCTTGTTTTCCTCCCACTTATAATCTGCTGGCTAAAAATGAGGTTGTTTGTTGGTGGGAGGAGGAGATGTTAGAGCTTGAACCACCGTCTTCTTGGGTTGCTGGCTTTAATCATAAAACACAGCTTAAAGATTCAGTTTCTGGTTTTTGCCTGTGTGTCATGTGGCAAGGGAACTTACAAATAAGGGCTTTCCCATCAATTTGTGTTCCTGCATCTATATTTCATAATGCTAAACAAACAGGGTTGGTTCACTTTCAATTCCTGTTTTGCTATAAGTGCTAAGAACTACCTTAATTAGATAAGAACGGGGTACTAGAGTAATAGCTCAGTGGTTAAGAACACCAGCTGCTCTTCTAGATCACCAGGGTTCAATTCTTAGCATCCATATGGCAGCTCACTGTTTTGGTTCAAGAATAGCCACACAAACCACTCAGACTCTTGTCTCAGATATGGATGGTTTATTGAATATTGAAGGCAACACCTCAAGACTGGTCATGACCAGAGACACAGAAAGGAACTCGGGAGTCTAACTGTGACATTGCCTAGGTCTCAGAGCAGTTTTGTTCTGTTTTTTAAATAGAATGTAATGCAAAAGACATCAGGAGGGCAGTCACACATTTTGGCTAACCTTACAAAGCAGTATTACATTTTTGGCTAACTAGATAAAGCATTATCAGCTAACCTTTAAGTTGATTGGTCCTAAGTGAGGTTAAGTGAGGCAGTGCTTAGGGTCCTCTAGACCACAGCCAAGGTGTGGCTAAGTTTGTAGATAAGAAAGGTGCAACCAGAGTGTTGCCAAGTGAATAGATAAGAATAGTTATAACACTATTGAATCATAGTAAATTATAAGGTCAGCTCGACTCTCTGGCAGGGTTTGTTAGTGTCAGCTCTGAATAACTGCTTCTAGGAAGCAGAGTTGAAAATTTTACAATTTTGACCTTAATTTCACCTTAGAAGCAAAATGGAAGCTGAAATGGCTGCAGTTATGTCTTAAAGCTGACTGAAGTATTTCAGGCTTCAACACTCACAACCCTCTTAAAGCTCCAGTCCAGGGGATACAGTGTCCTCTTCTGGCCTCCTCGGACACTACACAAATGTGGTGTACAGACATACATGCAGGCAAATCATGTATACACACAAAATCAAATACTTCTGATTTTAAAATGTAAAAGAATGATAGCAGTTTTTAGTAAGCCAAGGCTGCATAAAGAAACCCTGTCTCAAAAAATAAATAAATAAATAAATAAATAAATAAATAAATAAATAAATAAATAAATAAAGTTGACAGTACAGTCAGGCACCAATAATTTTGTTAAAAGCAAAAATCCCCCAAACAACATTTGGTTGCAAAAAGATTTTGTGATCTTATTATATTGAAGTAATTCACTCTGTCAAGCGACTTATATTGATTGCTCTTGTGTGGATGAATTTAGGCACGGTTGTGAAGTTTGAAGCCTCATTAATCTCAACATCATTCTTTTTAAGATTTTATTTATTTATTTTATGCATATTAGTGCTCTAAGAGGGCAGTAGAAGGTATAGATGGTTGTGAGCCACCATATGGGTGCTGGGAATTGAACTCAGGACCTCTGGAAGGGCAGCCTGTGCTCTTAACCGCTGAACCATCTCTCCAGCTCTAATCTCAACATCTTTAGTTTAACAACTTCACCATACTTTATATTTTAGTTGGAGCTACAGATTTAGCTTGATTCACTGTAAGTAATGAATTATACAACTTGGCAACATCAGTTTGTAAAAATCATTAAATTGTATTTACTTTTGGTCAAAAAATTCCAATTTCACTTTTCAAGTAAAAATGTATTAACAGGAGTGGTGCGCGCGTGCGTGCGTGTGTGTGTGTGTATTGGCGTTTGAAACAAAGTCTTGCTAGGATTACAGGCAGTGGCCACCAAGCCCACCCCACCTGTTTGAGGTTAGAAATGCTATCTCTCCATAGTTGCTTTGTCCCAGGACACACAGGCCTCTTCTGATTACGCTCCCCGGATGAGATGAAAAGTGTAAATGAAAATCCTCATCACTGTTGTCATTTTCATCTCTTCCATGTTCCCCAATTCAGAACTTCCCAAGACAGGCCAAACGACCGCAACTGTAATGCCTTGTTTGGCTAGTTTTCCCAGGGATGCACCTCTAACCTTTTGAACCGCACTAAATAGGATACGTTTAGAGCCTCTTTCATCCTTCCCGACTCCTAGGTGACAGGGGGCCACCCTGTCAATTCCAGCTAAACCTTTCTCCCAGCCGGCCTCCCCAGGCGGGGTAAGCACAGCGGTCCACAGCTCTCTCTGGTGAACCCACCAAAGCAAAGGACCACGCGGACCCACACAAAAAGAAGGCCGGAATCTTTGAGTTGGAGTCCTGCGCGCAGAATCCGGAGGGAAGTTCCAGATACACCGTCTCTCAGTCTTCGGGCCGGAAGTGAGGAAGGTGGGGGCAAGTCTTATTCTAGCGGAAATAAGTAGGGCCTGAGGGAGCAAGGACAGGGAAGAGTGTTTTTGTGACACTGCTGGTAGCGCTGAGAGATGGGAGTCTGAAGAGACTCGGAAAGGACCCATATCGCTGTGACACCGCTGGCACTCCCTGGGGGACGCGTGTCGGTGTGGCACCGGTGCACGCTGAAGGAGCGGGTGGGACTGGGTGACCATGGGGATGTGGGCATCGGTGGACTCTGTGTGGGACTTCCCCGCGGAGAAGCGAATCTTCGGGGCTGTGTTGCTCTTTTCCTGGACTGTGTATCTTTGGGAGACCTTCCTAGCCCAGCGGCAGGTGAGCAGAGATGGGGCCCGAGCCCCTGAACAGCCCTAGGCCAGCCTGAGCCGCTATCCAGGCCCCGGGATGTCTGGCCGGTCACAGCACCATTCTGTGCTCCCGAACCTCCAGTGAGCTTCTTAACTTTTCCCAGTGGTGGCGGTGGCTCTTGAGGGGTTCTTGGGACTGCAGGAAGTTGTCTGCAATGTTCTGCAATGTTGTAATGGGACCCAAGCCTGTTAGCGTCTAATGAAAGGAAAGGGCTGCTTCTCCGTCAAACTGGAGCCTGTCTGTGCCTGCCCTGGAGCATATTAAGGATCCTTGGGCCCAGGCTTGACTCTTTTTATCTTTGATATAAGCTTTCTAAATGGAGGTGCTAAAATTTTAGAAGAACAGCTTCCCATGACATTGAATTTAACCATGCTCAACCATGGGATTAGGAAACCACTTTTTTTTCTGGCAATATTTTGCAACCATTCTAAAGGCTTGCATACCTTAAAAAAAAATCCTCATTAGTGCAAATGTTGTTTTGGGCCCCAAAATATGTATATGTGTGTATGCTTCATTAAAAATACCTCCTTTAGTTTTGTTTAAAACGTTTACTAGCGCAGTAGAAAAGCTAACAGTTCCCGGAGATAGCCATAATTCTAACACTTTGATTAGATGTTTGAATGTTTTAAGTAAGATAGACTTTGTAGCTGGTGGTTTTATTTCAGTCTCACTACTGGTTGGCTTTACTTATACTCTCCTGTGCTTTCCTTGGGAACCTTTCCCTTTAACTGCTGGACCTATTTCTTGAGCATTGCAGTGTTTTTCTTATGCAGTTTTCTTTTAATTTACACTGTAAATGAGTTTATTTGGCCAGGCAAGCGCTCTTCCACTGAGCTATATCTCCATCCCTTCATGAATCTCTTAACTGCAAGTTTTAATTAAAATAAATCTTTTTTGTCTTTGTCAGGTTTATGCCTCATTCTCTTCCTTTAGTATGCTCAAAGTGTTAAAATTACTATAGCGAGGTACTCAAAGCTTCATTAGTTAAGAATTGTGCAACTACCCTTGCCTGAAGCACACATGTAGTATCAAATCAGCAGGGTGAGATATTGAACACTTATCTGACATAGTTTACTTAAAAGTTCCTTTTCTTTTTTTTCTTCTTCGAGACAGGGTTTCTCTCTGTGTAGCCCTGGCTGTCCTGCAACTCAGTCTATAGACTAGGCTGGTCTTGAACTTACAGAAATTCACCTGCCTCATCCCCCTGAGTGCTGGGATTAAAGGCGTGCGCCACCACTGATTGGTGTAGTTGCACCTTTGTAGAGTTATTTCTTAATACCTTGAACTTTTACTGTCGTGGAGGGTCTGGCCTCTTAGACCTTTTGGTATTTGTTCCCTCTGTTATGTTCTACGAGCTGACATTTGTTACAAAAATTTGATGCTTTTGTTACTCTCTAACTCTTACTTAATTTGACCTCTAGGACCAAATTCAATGATGGAAGATTCATTATTAAACTATTAAATGTATCTGTTAATTTGTGAAGTGAGCATGTTTGCTTCTCTTTTTTCATGCATATTTCCTATACCATAAGACATGCATCATAGAATGAACAATTCCCTCATGACATTACAACTTTGGCTTGCTTGGGCAAACTGACAACCCAGGTGACCATTCTTCTGGGTCAGCTAGCTTTGGAATCTTTTTGTCTGCTTTTACTTTCCTGTGTTGCTTGCTTCAGTGGGCATTGTTCTTGGCTCGATTCAGTTTGCACATATATGTAACAAATTTTACAAGCCCACTTGTCAGATGAATGCTATAGACTATTTGATGCTTGACCACAAATCATTACTATGTAAAAAAAAAAAAAAACAAAACAACAACAAAAACTCATTAAAGTGTTTTCTTCAACATATTTTAGAGAAGGATATACAAAACAACGACTCGAGTACCACCAGAATTAGAGCAGATCATGGATTCAGACACATTTGAGAAATCCCGACTGTATCAACTGGATAAAAGTACATTCAGCTTCTGGTCAGGGCTCTATTCCGAGGTGGAAGGCACTGTAAGTAATTTATTTCTTGGAGACACGATTCTTGGATTGTTTAGGACTTTGTAATGCTTGCTTTTGTCCTCGTCTTTTTGTGACACAGAGGATACAATGCCTGTAAATCCTGGAATGCCTTCTTAACATTTTTATATTTAACATTGTGTTCATGTCCTGTTGCTGTGAAGAAACACCATGACCACTGCAACTATTATAAAAGACAGCCTTTAATTGAAGCTTACAGTTTCAGAAGATAATTCAGTGTCATCATGGCAGTAAGCACGGCAGCATGCAGCCAGACATGATTAACTGTGGCTCTGTGCCCTGTAAGCCCAGCTACTTAAGAGTTGACGCAGCAGCGTCACTTGTGTCTAAGAGATAGAGACCAACCTGGGCAACACAGCAAGACTAGAGCAAAACACCATCGAGAACTGGTATGATTGGGGATGGGGAAGAGCGGAGTAGAAAAGCTCAGGTGGTGTGTGTGATGTTCACAGCGCCTTGCATGTGTGCATGAGCGTGTGTAAAGGCCAGAGGTTCACGCTGGCTGTCTTCCTCAGTCTCTTCTCCATCTCATTGTTTGAGACAAGGTCCCTAACTGAGCCTATAGATAACCTGTTTTGTAGACTAGATGGCCAGAGGGCTCCATGAATCCTCCTGCTCACCTAGCCATGGCATTATCGGTGCCTGGGTTTTTATGTGGGTGCTGGGATTCCAAAGTCAGGGCCTCATCTTGCTCAGCAAACAAACACTTTGCTTACTAAGGCAATTTCTCAGCCCTTTGGTTTTGGTTTTGGTTTTGGTTTGGGGGAGGTTGTCTCACTATATATATGGCCCTGGCTATCCTAGAATTTGGTATGTAGAGCATGCTGGCCTTGAATTTGCAAGAATCCTCTTAGCTTGTTGAATGTTAAGATTATAAGAGTGACCCATTAGTCTCAGCTAAGCTCAGATTTTTGCTCCTCTAGGTTCTAAATGTTTCTATATGAGCATTTTAAAAAAATTTTTTTTGTTGTTGTTTTGGGTTTGGTTTTGTTTTTCGTTTTTCAAGACAGGATTTCTCCGTGTAGCCTTGGCTGTCCAGGAACTCCATTTGTAGACCAGGCTTGTTTCGAACTCAAAGTGACCTGCCTGCCTCTCCTTCCAAGTGCTAAAATTAAAAGTGTGAGTCACCACAGCTGGGGTAGTAGTTGCATCTTTTTAAGGCTTATTTTCTCATTAAAGATGACAAGTAGAACCTGGAGGTGGTTCAGTGATTAAGAGCACCTACCGCTTTTCCAGAACATCCAAGTTTGATTTCCAGTTCCCACCTTGGAGGGGCTCACAGCTGCCCAAAATGCCAGCTGAAGGGGATCCAGTGACCTTTTTTGGCCTCCATGGGCATTTGCATTCACATGCACATATTCCCCAACACACATACACATACACACACACACACACACACACACACTAAATCTTTGAACACATTATAGAATAGAGGTGGATAGACACTAGACCTTTGAATGGCTGTGGCGTGGACTGAGCAGGCAAGGTAACATGAATGAAGCACTACATACAGAGCTCAGCATATAATAAACACTTCACCACCTACTTTAGCCTCTCTGCGCTCCAATTACTTCCCTGCCATGTTTGCTTTTCAGACTCTAATGAAATAGTGTATGTCGGAGTACTAGAGTTGTGTCTGTTGCCCTTGTTGATTCTTGTCCCAGGACTCCCAGGAGTGTACTTGGTGAGATTATTAGCAGGGAGAAAGCTTAGAGCTTACCATTCTTGTTTTTCGGTCCCCAAAGAAACTAAACAAGGTTTGAGACAGCAAAGCTTCCAAGTGTGTTCACAAATCACTCAAAGGCATGTTAAAATACCTTTAGTGTTTATTTCAAAGCTGGAATTTTAGTAGTAACTGTTTCAGCCTTCTGTCAAAAGCAGTATAATTCCTTAATTCCACAGTACGTGTTGGCATTGGGAGACAGATAAAAGGAATGCCGTCCTAGGGCAGTTAGCTCAGCTTGTGTAGTGTATGGCAGGTAGCGGTACCAGAGTGTATCTTTTTTTTTCTTTTTTGTTTTTTTTGTTTGTTTGTTTTTTTGAGACAGGGTTTCTCTGTGTACCCTTGGCTGTACTAGAACTCACTTTGTAGACCAGGCTGGCTTCAAACTCAGAGATCCACCTGCCTCTGCCTCCCAAGTGGTGGGTGGGGTTAAAGGCTCCAGACCATATCTTTTACAAACATTGTTTCTTATGGCCACAATGGAGTTAATTGTAGCAATGGGTGTGCCTAGAGTTCACTGTCAGATTTTTTAATTTTTTGAGACAGAGTTTCTCTGTGTGGCTCTGGCTGTTCTGGAGTTCTCTCTGTAGACCAGGCTGGCCTCCAACTCATAGAGATCTGCCTGCCTCTGCCTCCCAAGTACTGGGATTACAGGTGGGCACCGCCACTGCTGGGCCACACAGTCAGATTGTGTAAACAGTCTCCTGTAAGTGATTGTCTGCCAGATTGATGTGCAGGCTGTTGGGTCTTGCTCAGTCCAGCCTCTGTGCTGTGGCTTGTACTTCTGGCATAAGCTCAGGTGCTGCTGTTCCTGGTTAGTTCCGAAGCATATTTGAGACCTGGGCAAACCAATGCAGCTGGTAAAACTAAATGATAGCCAAGTGTGGCGATGCACAGCTGTAATCACAGAACTGGGGAGACTGAAGCAGGGGGATCGTCCTGAGTTCAAATCAGCCAAGGCTACATAGTGAGTTCTAGGCCAGCTTTAGCTGCATAAGACCCTGTCTCAAAAACACACCAGAACTGTAAGAGGTGGATAGTATAAAGTGTGTGTGAGGTTGGAGAAGGGTAAGAACACATGTACTGTGGGTGGATGTATAACGTAGTGGTAAGCATTTAGAGAGCAGCTGTTAATGCCAAGGGACGTTCAAGGTCATCATGGAAAGATCTTTATAAAAAAAATAGTTCAAGCCAGATGTGGTGGCTCGTGCTTTTAATCCCAGCACTTGGGAGGCAGGGTTTCTAATGTTCTGGCGACATGTGAGTGTCTGTTTACTTATTTGTCCAAGACAAAGACTGGTAAGGGCCTACCCCTGAAGCCCTGATTCCTGCCTTAGGATTCATCTTTTCCTGACCAAGGGAAGGTCCGAGTCTTCTGTCCCACAGCCTGGTAAGTGGACAAGACTCTCCACTTCTATATCAGTACTAATACTTCAGCCGGGTGTGGTGGAACATCCCTATATTCCCAGCTGTGGAGGAGGCAGGAAGATCATTTGAATCCATGAGTTCAGACGCAGCCCGGGTGACATCATGGGGTGACATCCCAAACAAACAGCAGCAAGCTAATTCCTCTTTTCTGGCTGAAGAGGACACTTTCCTTTCATGGAAAAGATAGTAATAAAGCCGTATTGCCATCAGATCCATCTTTGCTCATGACCTGTGGGATTTGGAACAAGCCATTTAATCTTTGTAAGTTTAATTTAGTTTGATAAATTTTTGTTTTAGACTCTTGGCAAATGTTTTTATTTGCTCTTTTTTTCTTTTTTAGTAATTTATCTTTATTTTATATGCATTGGTGTTTGGCCTGCATATATGTCGGATCTCCTGGAACTAGAGTTACATACAGTTGTGAGCTACCATGTGGGGTGCTGGGAATTGAACCCAGGTTTTCTAGGAGAACATTCAGTGCTCCTAACTACTGAGCCATCTCTCCAGTCCCTTTATTTACTTTTTTAAGCTATTATGGTTAACACATATGACTCATATTTCTAGGGTACATTAATGTTTTTAATACATTGTAATAATGATCATATCAGGGTAATTAGCATATAACACCATAAACAATAGTCATTTGTGTGTGAGTGTGTGTGTGTGTGATATAAACATTGAAACCCTCTCTTCTACCTGTTTCAAATTCAACTATACAAGACCATAATCTGTTCTTTCTGACTTTGTACTTCTTAGTTAATTTCTCCTCATCCGCCTTCCTGGTTTTTATTTTTTAATTGGTATACAATGTTTACGCTCATTTATGAAGTGCAGTGTAATTTAGAAAATTTATACCATATATAACAATCGGGTCAGGGTAGTTAGAATTTCTATTTCCTTAAACTTTTTTTTTGTTTGTTTTGTTGTTTTTCAGGGCAGGGTTACTCTATATGTAGCCCTGGCTGTCCAGGAACTCACTCTGTCAATCAGGCTGGCCTCAAACTCACAGAACTCCACCTGCCTCTGCTTCCCAAGTGCTAGAATTAAAGGTGTGCACCACCATGGCCCAGCTCTTCCTTAAACATTTTTATGCCAGAAACTTTTGTACTTGTAGTTCTCGTGAAACACTTCATACACTAAAGTTACTGATTTGCTATAGATGCCTGGATTAAACCCTACTGACTCACTGTTTTGATATCCATTATTTAGCATATTTCTAGGTCAATTTCTCCCATTTCCTTTCAGTCTCTAGTAAATACTATTATTTTATTTTCCCCTAAAAGAATGATTTTTTAAAATCCTTTAAAATTTTTTTGTTTATTTTTTGTTGTTAGTGGTGGTGGTAGTGTTTGTGTGTGTGCGTCTATGTATGTGTATGTACATGATGGAGGCATAAATATGTTCCACATTGTGCATGTGGAGGTCAAAGAACCATTTTTGGAAGTCAGTTCTCTCTTTCATATATATATATATATATATATATATATATATATACACACATATAATATATATGTATATTATTGTATTATATATATACATATATATATATATTATATTTGTTTTTTTTTTGAGACAGGGTTTCTCCTCATAGTCTTGGCTACCCTGAAACTACCGTATATCAGGCTGGCCTTGAGCTCAGAGATTTGCCTGCTCCTTCTTCCCCAGCGCTGAATTGAAGGTGTGCACCGTCACGGCCAGGCCTTAGGTTTAACTTTTAAATGGGTTTTTTAGAATGTAATTTACATACCATACATATACAGTATTTAGTCAAAAATATCTCAGTGGTCTAGACTTAGTGTCTCAGTGGTTTGTAGTTTTCCAAATGTGTATTTTATTCTAAATGAGTTATGTCCCCTCCCTTTTTTATAACCTATTTATTTTCCCTCTCATTTTTCCTTGTAAAAGATTCTTTCATATGCTAGTTGCCAAGCTTGTTCAGATGTGATCACAGTCTGCTTTGTTTTACAGTTTATTCTTCTCTTTGGAGGGATCCCTTACCTCTGGAGACTTTCTGGACGGTTCTGTGGTTCTGCTGGCTTTGGACCAGAATATGAGGTATGTGGTTCCTTTGCCCAGATTGCTCAGTCTTTATTTTGCTTGATAAGCTTTACACTGAAGTTGTTGCCTTTTTGGCTTCTACCATCCAAAGACTTGCTTCTTAGTTTCTGCAGTCCTTGTTTGTGTATGGATTAGCATAATCCTAGGGTTTTGGATGCTTTTCTATTGCCATAACACTATACCCAAAGCAGCTTGTAAAAGAAAGCATTTAATATGAGTAAGTCTATGACCGTCATGTTGAGAAGCATGGCAGCAGGCAGGCCTGGTGCTGGGGCAGCAGCTGAGAGCTTACATCTGATCCACAAACAAGAGGCAGTGACATACCTCCACCAACAAGGCTATACCTTCTAATCTTGACCAAACAGTTCGACCAACTGAGTACCAACATTCAAATGTATGAGCCCATGGGGGCCATGTCATTCAGCTACCAAAGCTAGTTAATAACTCCAGAATTCCAGTGACTTCTCACAGTTAATTTCCCAATCACGTAGTTATTTTTAGTTAGCAAGTGACTTTGTTTCATGTGGTAAGGCAGGGAGTCAGTTTTGTTTTTTGTTTGTTGGTTGGTTTTTCATTTTATGGGTTTGTTGCCCAGTGATGGTGGGAAGAATATGCCTTCTTTTTAAATTCTGTAATACTAAGGTGATGCTATCTTACACTCATGTCACATGCTGAAGAAGTCATTTGATCTTATTCAGCTGGAAGGGAGCGGGGGAATGTAGTCTTGATTAGACTGCTGCTTCTTAGGAACAGCCTGCCGTGACAGGGGAACTGCTCATTTGTGGAACTCATACTTAGTAGATAACTTCCGTGGCATGCACATTAAGCAGGCACTTCAAATTAACACAGAAAGTCTATCCTCTGGGCAAGGCCGCAAATGAATTCTCCGTGTGTAATGAATGCTGTAGCCCTGCTTCCTGACATTCTCCTGGAAGCTGCCAAGTCATTTACCTCCTTCCTGATTCTTTATTGGAAATCACGGATCTTCTGTATAGATACTGTACCCTTGACTTTAACTCTGCTCCTCCTGCGCCCCTTTTCCATATACCATTTCCTAAAGCAGCAAGACTCTTACATGTTGGGGGGGGGCAGGTATGGTGTGTGTGTGTGTGTGTGTGTGTGTGTGTGTCTAAGAGTACAACTTGCAAGAGTCAGTTCTCCCTTCCACCATATGGCTCTAGGGCCTGAACTGTCCCAGTCAGGCTTGGCGCCAGGCATCTTTACCCTCTGAGTCATTTTGCAGGCTCAGAGCAGGTATACTTTGTTGAATGAGTAAATACAACTCTACATGTGTCAGTCTGCTGGGGCATGGACAACTAATGGCTGTTCTCCCCTCCAGCCCTGACCAAAAAAAGTGACTTTCCCTCAGCAGCCCTCAGCTGCCATTAGCATCTCAGCTCAGGATGAGTCTGTATCTTATTGGAATATTTTATGTACTGTTCTAAGGTACGGACTTTGTATTTAATAATGACTTAGGGTTCTTATTGAGGTAGGCCTTTGTTCTTTAACAGCTGCATGATACTGGAGTCCTCACTTGTGTATTTCTGAAACATACAAATGTAAGTTACCACAGTGTGGTTGTAACACCAGCCCGTCAACACTGTGGCTCAATTTCTAGTTATCATAATGTATTATTATCTGAATAGTTAAACTGCAGACTTCCCTGTTAGGTGTTCAGTATACAGATCACAATATAAGTGGTAGTCAGGATCAGTCATGTCAATATTTTCATCAATCTAAATAACTGGTTACTGCATGTCTGATATTCAGAGTGTAATGCCTCGTTCTCTTCCTGCTAAAAATACAAACACGTTTATAATGATAGGTAGTTGATCTGGGTCCAGCGGTGCACACCTCTGGACTTAGATACATGGGAGGCTGAGGCTGGAGAATCACTTGAGTCCAGGCATTCAGGACAGCATAATGGTGTGTGTGTGAGAGAGACGAGACAGAGAGGTACAGAGAAAGAGAAACACAGATCTAGAAGGAAGGGAGCTGGAATGATTGAAAGATGGAGTTGGCTGACCAAAGTGAAAGTGCAACAAAGAAGAGAAAACTGGTAACCCTGAAAGTGAGGTTCCGATCTAACTTAATGAACTTGCTGTGTAGACCAGGCTGGCCTCAGACTCACAGATCCATCTTCCTCTGCCTCCTGAGTGCTGGAATTAAAGGCATGCCTGTCTCCTACCATGCCTGTCCCTGGTAGATATTTTGTACATAGTATCCTTGTGCATATATTCTGCATTTATAAAGAAAAAATTCTGAAATAATGTGTGCCAAAATGTCAAAAATGGATTTCCCTCCAGAGAAATTAGCTATAAGAAAAAACATTTTCTTTATTTAAAAATGAAGCCGGTGGTTGTGGCGCATGCTTTTAATCCCAGCACTTGGGAGGCCGAGGTAGGTGGATCTCTGTGAGTTGGAGGCCAGTCTGGTCTACAAAAGCGAGTCCAGGACAACCAAGGCTACACACAAAAAACAGAAAAAAAGGAAAAAAAAAATGAACCCATGCATAATGGTATACAGTGTGTAAGTTTATACCCATAATCCCAGCACTGAGTAGGCTGAGCAGGAGGCAGGAGGATTGTGACTCTGGGTACATAGTGAGACCCTGGCTCAAAAAGGGAAGGGGCATAGGAGAAGAAGAGGGAGGGAGGATGAGATTGGGAGGGGATAGGGAAGGGGACTACAGCTGGGATACAAAGTGAATAAACTATAATTAATAAAAATAAAATTAAAATTAAAGAAAAGGAAAGGAGGCAAATAGGAAGAGGAGAAGGGGGAGTTGGAGAATCGATCATAGCTTACTCTTTTTGAATGCAGCATGTTTTCTGGCAGAACTTCCTGGTTTCCCAAACTTCCAGCAGGGAATTTCACAACTAGTATCCTATTTCTGTGCAGCAGGATAAGGCCTGGTCTTTCTCAGCAAGTAGTGAAACCTCCTTGACTTAGAATACTCCAGAACTCTTCATGTCTTTAAGAGGTGGGTAGGTCTGAGTCTCTCTCTTCGTGTGCAAGCTTCCTTGTGCTATGTCCTAGAATCTTTGAGCAGTCACAGAGAGAGACAGCCTGGGTCTTGCTGGCTTCTTGAAGCAGTGTTTTCACATCACCCAGCTTCCTGAGGCGTCCTCCTTCCGGGCTGGTTTGGCAACCAAGGACAGCTGCCACTGTCTATATACTCTGTAGGTTTCTCCAGGAGGGAGTTTCCTGCTGCACTGCTTCTCTCAGCTGGAATGATTTCCTTAACTCTCTTCCTTTCCCAAGTTCTAGCTCATACTTGGCTTTTGGGAGTGGAGCAGTACTGCAAAGAAGCAATACGAAAGTTGGAAAAGTGAAATAAAAAAAAAAAAATAGAAGAAATTAAAGGGAAATTGAGTAATTCTGGCTTTGATCTAACAATTTTTTAAAGGTGATAAAAGTAATTATTGGGGATAATTTTCTCTATTGGAATTTGGCTTTTTGTAAAAAACTTGAACATACTGTGCACCATCCATCTAACTAGTTTAGCTTTTCCCTTCCTTCCTTCCTTCCTTTTTTCCTTCCTTCCCTCTTCCTTCCTTCCTTTCCTTTCTCCCTCCCTCCCTCCCTCCCTTCCTTCCCTTAAACAGGCCCTCACTTTGTCCATAAGCTGACTTCAAATTCAAATCTCCCTGCTGTTTCTGTCTCCCAGTGACTGCCAGGCCTGCTATCTGTTCGGCGAGTCAACTTAGTCATAGCCAGGCCAGTCATCTTGTCCGCATGCTGTTGGACACCTTTCTTCCCAATACTGGTGAGACAGAGGCAGGTGGATCTTTGTGAATTTGAAGCTAGCCTGGTCTTCATGGTCAAATAGTTTCAAACCAGCCAGAGCTCCATGGTGAGCCCCTGCCTTAAAGCAAAGACACAACAAAACCAAGAGTAAATCTGCCTTGAATACAACTAGCATATGTCATTTTCTCTGTTTCTGAATACTACCAACCATTTGTCCCTACAACTTAAGGTAGCTTTCAGGTTGTGCCTCCTCTTCTAAGTAAACATTTTCCAGGGCAGGATGCTATTGCAGGCCTCTTCCCATTGGATCACATGCATTACTTGAGATGGAATAAGCATTCAGTATATACTTGCTGATTTGTGCTTCATGGTTCATTTGATTTTTTTTTTTTTTTCTTTCTTGTGCTTAGATCATTCAGTCTTTGGTGTTCCTGCTGTTGGCCACACTCTTCAGTGCACTGACTGGCTTGCCGTGGAGTCTGTATAATACTTTTGTGATAGAAGAAAAACATGGCTTCAATCACCAGGTATAATAGAAGCTATCAGGATTTTTAGTATGAACATTTTCGGTGCTTTAGTCCTATGCAGGCAATAATTTAAATATAGTTTGCTATTCTAGAGCATGAATCAACTCAGAAAAAGAAACCACAGATATGGTAAAGACATTACTTTAAGGTTTTGATAGAAACTCCTACTGCTTTTCAGCTAGTATGTACTACATTCTGTTTTAAACTATGAAATGCAAGACTTTTGCGTATTGTCCTAGGCTGCCTTGTGTTCACTTTCAGCTGTTTTAAAAGCAAACCTGAAAAAAATAAAAATAAAAAAATAAAAGCAAACCTGTTACTCTGTTAATAATAGTAATATTTTCTTTTTTTCAGACTTTGGAGTTTTTTATGAAAGATGCAATCAAAAAATTTATTGTGACTCAATGTATTTTATTGCCTGTATCTTCCCTTCTGCTTTATATTATTAAAATTGGAGGTGACTACTTTTTTATTTATGCTTGGCTGTTCACATTAGTTGTTTCTCTGGTAAGTAAAATCTTTGTGTCATTTTCTTTTTTATTATATTCATTTATTTGAAATTTTCATATATTAATGCTATGTTCACATTTTTCTCTCCCTCCCTCTCCTCCAGTTCTTCCTACATTCCTCTCATTCCCTCTCAAATTCATGACCTCTAATTCTTTAATTATTTCATTTTCTTTTGCAAAAGTTTCTTGAAATTATGGGGGTTTAGTTTTTGTCAAGTAAGTAATTTCTAAGAAAAGGTTTCAGTGTAACCAACTGCCCTTATCCATTTTCCTCTCAATTCCTGCTTTGGGATATAAAATAGGAGAACTGACCGACCATGGATTTTCTTCTCATTATGCCAGAAGCTAGTTGCTAGTCACTTAATGGTCTGGCTGCTAGGCAACTGAGACAGTACTTGTAAGTTTGATCAGGATGGATAACTTTTGACTAATGTATCCTGCCCTCCTACCCCTCCAGTGCCTAAAAAGTCTTATTAATGTTTTGAAGAGAAAATAGATTTATGAGAGACAGAAAAGGAAAGCATAGGGCTAAGGGTGTAGCTCAGTCAGTAGAGCGCCTGTGTAGCATGCACACGGCCCTGGGCTCAGTCTCCAGGACTTCATAAAGCAGGAGTGGTAGTGCTCCTAGGGGTGAAGACAGGAGGATGAGAAGTTCAAAACTATCCTCAGCTGTATATGGAAGCTGAGACCCTGTGGCCAAAGAGCATATGTTTTACTTACTCAGCTTTCTTCTGCCCTCTCCTCCCCTTTCCTCTTTTCTTTAGTTTATGTAATTAATTAGTGGATTTTGTTTGTTTGTTTGTTTGTTTTAAAGAAGCATCTTGCTTTTCAGTTTAGACTGGCCCAAAGCTACTATGTAACCTAGGCTGGCCTCAAGTTCATGGTAATCCTCCTGCCTCAGCCTGCTGAGTGCTGAGATTATAGACATGTACCATCATGCTTCTTTTTTTCTTTGCCCCTCTCTGTTCCTTCGCTTTTGTCCTTTTACCCACTCGCCATCCTTTCTTTCTTTCTTTCTTTCTTTCTTTCTTTCTTTCTTTCTTTCTTTCTTTTCTTTTCTTTTCTTTACCTTTGTCTCTTTCCATCTACCTCCTATCCTTCCCTCTCTCTTTCCTCTTCCCTTTTCTCTCATCCCCATTTTCTTCCTTTACATCTTCTTTTCCTTCTGTTTCTCATATTCTAAACTGTTTCACCACACAGGCACCTGTACAGTCAACTATTATGTTCATGGGTCCTAGAAAGTACCACCTATCATTTCTTTAACTCCATTGGTGAGGAGGGTGATTTCCATCTGAACTGTATGGTGTTTGTTGCTTTATCTCTTGTTGGTAGGATCAAGATCAGAAAATGGGCTAGCTGGATTTACAAATACCTATAATGTGACAAATTGAAGTAAGAACAAAGACCCAGGAAATGCTCCAAAAGTGCCATTTCATCCAGAGTAAATAAGAATGTGTGCTATAATCGGCTTATAGTGCCAGGAATCCCCAAGAAAGGGCTATTGACTAGGCCGAGAGTTCTGAGTCACTGTTAGTGGCTTATCTTTTACAATTAAGTCAGTGCTTACTGTGCTACCACACCGCTGTTTTGATTTAATTTCTTCCAGGTGTTGGTTTGATGAGCATAATTCTATCACATAATTGAATTGTTAATAATAAGCAGTTTTTCTGTTACTTATTTTTCAGGTTCTTGTCACGATTTATGCTGATTATATTGCCCCTTTGTTTGACAAATTCACACCTCTACCGGAGGGAAAGCTCAAACAGGAAATTGAAGTGATGGCAAAGAGTATTGATTTCCCTTTGACTAAGGTCTATGTTGTTGAAGGTAAGGCTACCTGGAGGTGAGAAGAGTGATTAGAATACTTTATTCTTAAATCAGTCTTTATTGTTTGTTTTAAATATTTGGCACTTTAAGATTTATAAAATCTGAACTGGAGAGATGACTCAGCAGTTAACCCTGAATGCTCTTTCAGAGGAGCCAAGTTCGGTTTCCAGCACACACATAGTGGGTCACAATTGACTGTAACATAAATTTTCAAAATAAAATAAAAATAAAGAAAAAAGATTTATAGGAACATATAACATTTTCCAGGATAAAAAGTGGTAGCCTGGTGCCAACTCCTGTTCCTGTTTACCGTTCCATTTGGGTAACTGCATAGTACTGTTTTTAATCTTTGGCCAAAGCCTTTTTACCATCTCATACTGTGCTATATAACAGACCAATCACTCACCCTACTGTCTGCCTGGCTCCTTTGGGTACTTGAGTTGGACTCTTGAATGATTATCTCTATAGCACTAGTTTAGAGGCTGTAAAACAAAAGCAGTGTTCTTGGCTTTATTTCCCCTGGCAGACCATCAGTGTTCTGGAGGACTCTGACCTGTCAGACATCTTACGCTAGTTAGACTCTGTTAAGCCACCTATTGCCTTCATAATACTGCTTAAGTTTCAAGGAAGCCTACCAAGTTTAGAGGAAAACTTTTGTATGTGTCAGAATTTCTGTATAAAATAAAAATAACTGATTCTGCCTCAGCAGCTTACTAGCAGTAGGGTCTTAAATCACTTCTCTCTAGCTTTCACCAGTGATTCCTCTGAACAGTAGTTCTCTGTAAAAAGCAAGCTGTTTACTGTTCAGAGCTTTGTGGCCTACATTGTCTCCTTCAAATGTTTAGTTCTGTATGGCAGAAGCCACCACAGACAGGGCATGAGCATATGAACCTGGCTGTGTTCATGAAGTCTGCATGCAGCAAGCAGCACCTTGGATTTGATCTGAAGCCATAGTTTGCTGGTGCCTTCTAGAAACTAAACTTTACCAATGAGAAGCAATTACAAAGTGAAGGGAGAACAAAGATGGCTGTAACTAAAATGAGCAGCTCTAAGAGCACAGCAGTCTGACAGGCCTCTCTAAGTCAGGGTAAGGAGTTTGGTTTCTGTTCATGTTTGAGACAGTCTTAAGTAGCCGACGCTGACTTCAGAATTACTGTACAACTGAGGCTGACTGTGAACTCCTGATCCTATTGCTTCTGCTTCCCTAGTGCTGGGATTACAGGTGTGAGCCACTGCACAGAGCCAGAAGACTACCTTGTCCTACTGCATAGAGAATGCATTATAGGGTGAGGCAAGAATGAAAACAGAGCAGGTAGGAGGCTGTTTTGTTAGTTGAGGTTAGATGGCGTGGGTTTTTTTGTTGGTGGTGGTTGGTTGGTTTTGTTTTAAACTAGAGCAGTAGTAATGAAGAGAAACAGCTGTTTGCTAATAGATTACATATAGGGGAATAAGGAAGAGACATTAAGGATAACAAACAGCCAAAGTTTGATGTGGACAGTTATAAATGGCAGCTTGCCAAAGGGGAATAGAATTGGAAGAGCAGATTCATAAGAAACTAGAGTTCTCATGTCTGTGTTAGTATAAAATTCTTTTAAACAACATCTCAGTCACAGCTTTTCAGGAGTGAGTTATTTAAGCAGAAGAACTTCTCGTGATAGCTACAAAATCTCCAGAAAGCTGTTTACCAACCTTGGAAAATGGACTTTCCGATGGGTGGCTATGAGTTCAAAACTGTAGGGTAGAGCCAGTCTTGGGAAGTTACTGTTTTTGCCACTGCAGAATCCTGCATTGAAGGCTTGTATAACTTAGCCTCATTGGTACAGGGCTTGCCGTGCAAGTGTGAGGACCCGAGTTTGCTCTCCAGAACCCATATAAAAATGCCTTGTGTAGTGGCAGTCCGTGGTCTTCCCAGAGCTGTGGAGGTGGAGACCAGAGTCCCTGGGATACATTGGCCAGCCAGTATAACCTAACTGATGAGCTCCAGGCCAATAAAAAGCCCTATCTCAAAGGAAGTAGGTGGCGTTTTGAGGATAACACCTGAGATTGCTCTATGGCCTCCACATGCACATATATACATGTACACACATGTACATACACAAACATACCAATACATTTTTTAAAAAAACAGAAAGGGCTGGAGATGGCTTAAGTAGTTAAGAGCGCTTGTTGCTCTTTCAGAGGACCCAAATTCAATTCCTGGCATCCACTTGGTGACTTACAATTATAACTCCAGTACTGAGGGATCTGTCACCCTCTTCTGACTTCTTAGGCACCAGACACACACATAGTGCACACCCATATATATAAATAAAAATAAATAAATCTAAAAATAAATTTAAATACTTTTTTGTTTTGTTTTGTGGAACCCTAATGTTCCTGTCACGGCAGCTGCAGAATGAATTCTTGGCTGCTTTGATTCTGTGTGTGACTCTCTGACTATTCAGAATTCCAGGGCTGCGTCTTACCCACTAAGCCGGTGCACGGGGCTAGCTGCCGAGAGCTGCTGAGAAAACAAATAACCTGGCTTTTAGGTTTTCCAGATGAGAAGTCTCATCAGACCTTCACTGTGTGAACTCTGAATTCTGAAAGGAAATTCCAGTAATGAGCAGGGGGAAGCACAAATAAAAACATGAACATCTAGGGACTTGGAGAGGTTGCTCAGCAGTTAAGAACACTTGCTGCTTTACCAGAGACCCAGAGTTTGGTTCCCAGCACCAACATTGGGAGTCTCACAACCACTTGTAACTCTAGCCCCCAAGGATGCTTAGTCCTCTTTAGGCCTCTGCAGGTACTCGCACATGTGTGAGAATACTCATACACATTCATAAAAACTTCTTAAATCTTAAAAAACAACAAATAATGGGTGGAGAGAGCCCAGTGAATAAAGGCCCTTGCCATCAAGCATGAGGACTGAACTGATCCCTAGAACTTGCATGGTAGAAAGAACTAACTCCTGCAAATTGTCCTCTGAATGCCATGGTACATGGTACATGCATGTGTACACACACATGAGCCATGGTACAAGCGTACATACGCACAAAAATAAATTATCTAACCTGGAGAGTTGCATCAGCAGTTATAAGAGTGCTTGCCTCAAAATCATGAGGAGTAGAGTTTGGATCCTAGCACTGCCCCACTGAGTAGGAAGTTCCACAAACACCTGTATCTGTAGCTCCAAAGGCTGTGACATCTGGTCTCCAATACCACACATGCAGTGCACGCACGCACGCATGCACACACACATACACACTTTAATTAAAATTTAAAATTCCTTAAAGAATACAATCTTCTGTAGCCTCACATTGTTGGAAACCCCTCATACGATAACTGGTTTTGCATTACACTGCAGAACGGTTTCCCAGGTCTGTGGGAAGGGGCTGCAAGACAGCTAGCAGGACGTATGAAAGCCCTAATCATCTTGAGTGACACAAATGAGTAGGAGCTGGGCTTGTTCATGTTCAGATGACAGATTGCATTGAGAAGCGGGCAGATCCCTCTAGCCTAAAAGCATCCTAAAGGAAATTGCTTAAAGTGAGATTCCAAAGATCTTAGAGGAGGATTTTGAAGTTTTGTCTATGCGCTCACAATTCAGGTACAGGCAGGAAAAGTCCAAGCAGGCTAGAACTCATTCTAGCCTCATGTTTCTAGCCTGGTGTTTCTAGCCAGCTCTTTTTTTCTTTTTTCTTTTCTTTTCTTCTCTTTTCTGTTTTCTTTCTTTTCTCTTCTCTTCTCTTCTCTTTTTTCGTTTCTTGAGACACGGTTTCTCTGTGTAGCTCTGTACTCGCTTTGTAAACCAGGCTGGCCTGGAACTCACAGAGATCCGCCTGCCTCCGCCTCCCCAAGTGCTGGGATAGCAGGTGTGCACCACTGCGCCCAGCTTGATACTAGGCTTTCTTACAAGGGCTGTCTTGAAGAGAAGTCTTACATTTAGGTTTAGGAGGAACTAAGGTGGTCTTGTTGGGCAAAAGAAGGAATCACAGCTTGTGAGTTTCTTTTCTCTTTTGAAAGATTTTTATGGGTTGTTTTATTTTTAGATTATTTTATTTTATGTGTGTGAATATTTTGTTCAAATGGATGTCTGTTTATCACATGTCAGCCTGGTGCCGTGGAGATCAGAAGAGGGCATTGGATCCCTAGATCCATTGGAACTAGAGTTATAGTTGGTTGTGAGTCACCATATAGGTGCTGGGAATTGACCCTTGCTCCTCTGCAAGAACAAGTGCTCCTAACCACTGAGCCATCTCTCCAGTGCCACGAGTTTCCTTAAATAAAAATGTATTTATTTTAAGTAATTCTGCCTATTATTACACTTAAAAGAAACTCTTTTGGTTTAGAATTTAGTATTTTTTATAGAAGTAAGAAAAATTAAATTTAGCACTTAAAAATAGAATTAATAAATGTATCTGTAAACTTCCAGTGTAGACATGCCACAAGCAGTTGCATACACAAGCCTGGGGTTTCAGGGAGAGAGGCCAGTGCTCAGAACATAGGTTTGGAAGTCTCTGGCACGTGGCTATGTTTAAGGCTAAAGATGAGGGCAACACCAGGCTCAGAGCTGGCAGGGAGGAGCAGACAGCAGTGAAGCTAAGTGTTCTAGGAGGCTGTGCTCACCTGTGTCGGGTGCCATCCAAGGTCCTATCTGGAGCAGAGGTGAGGGCACAGGTGGCATCACCTTTCATTCACACAGAGTTTGTATTCTCAGGAGTTCTCAATGCATTACTTCACTGTTTACTAGTATCATTAGTCCAGTCAGTAAACAAGCATTATTGAATATAAACTTCTTTCCAGACACAGTAGTACAAAAGGTTTACAGTGTAGTACAAAGACTCCTAAACCTTAATTACATAAAGATTTCCTGGAAAGCTTGATCTGGACAGGTTCTAGAGAGTCTAGCTTAGTAGGTGTTTCCAGTATCTGTGATTTTTGATGTGGATATTCCTGGAACCACACTTGAAGAAGCTGGACCAATGAAAACTATTAAGCGTCAGTTTTATTTGTCTGTATACAACCTGACCAGCCCCATCAAGTTTCAGATAGCATCTAAAGTTTTGAACTAACTGCAAGTGTGAGAGGAGGACTGGGCTGTAACTTGGCTGATTGCTTACCTAGCAAGCATGAGGCCCTAGACTCCTTCCTCATTTAAAAGGAGTGTGGGGGCTGGAGAGAAGGCTGGCAAGCTAACTGTGCCTGTTGCTCTTGCAGTACAACTGAGTTTGCTTCCTAGCACTCAGGAGCGACCCACAATTGTGAGCCAGCTCCAGGGGGTCCAATGCCGTCTTCATGGCACCCGCGCACATGTATGTACACATACACACATACAAAGCAGTATGAGAATGATAGTAAAGTTTGCCACAGTGCTGGCAAAAATAGGGCCATATGTTTGGCTCTTAACTTGCAGGAACCACACCCCAACAAAAAATACTACAGTGCAATAAATAATAATAACTACTACTTACTAAATTTTTACTGTATTCTAAACACACTACCACATATGTTATATTAGAAATATGCGGGCTGAAGATCTGGCTCAAGAGCACTGGCTGCTCTTACTGAAGACCTAGGTTCAATTCCTAGCACTGACTTGACAGCTTTACAACTGTAACTCCAGTTCCAGGGGATTCGACATCCTTACACAGGCATACATGTAGGCTAAATACCAATGCACATAAAATAAAAATAAATTATTAGAAAGAATAAATTATTAGCCAGGTTTAATCCCAGTACTCAGGATGCAGAGGCAGAAGGATCTCTGGGTTTGAGGCTAGCCTGGTCTTTAGAGTGAGTTCCAGAATAGCCAGAGCTATACAGAGAAACCCTGTCCTGGAAAAAGAAAATAAACAAACAAACAAATAAATAAATAAATAAGAGTAGATGCATGTCCAGGAAGGTGGTCCAGTTGGTAGAATGCTGACCTAGCTTACACAAGACCCAGGATTTTGTGCTAAGCGCCACATAAACCTTCTGTTGTGGCCCACACCTATAAACCCAACCAGCTCTTGGAAGGTAGAGAGGCAGGAGGATCAAAGTTCAACATCATAGCGTTGGTGAGCAGTCTGGGATGTAAAAGCCCCCAGTGAAAAAATTTTCAAGTACATATATTAACCTTTATTTTTATTATTTTTTAATTATTTGTATATGTATGGATCTGATTGTGCGAGATCAGAGCATCAGAACTGGAGCTAAGTTACATGTGGTTGTGAGCCACCCAATGGGAGCTAGGAATCGTCCCCTGTAAGAGCAGTAAATGCTCTGAAAGGATGAGCCACCTCCACAGCATCCTTCACCACATGACTTCTGTTGGCCCTGCACATAAGTGACATACACTCCCATAAACAAACACACATACACATGAATAAAAATAAGTCTTTTTAAAAATAGAAATGAGTAGATGCAGCATGCACATATTCTTTAAGAAACTTCAAGTTCTCAAGAGAACTATATATTTTGTCATTTATTTAAACACACACACACACACACACACACAAAGTAATAGCATTTAATGTGGGTCAAGGTATATTGTTTTAATATCTTATGAGGTACATATTAGCCTTGCTCCTTAAATAGGAAACTATAGCTTTAAAAAGAGTCCTAAATTTTCACAACTGATACGTGCCAAAGCCAGAGTTTGAGCTCTGAGTTGTGCTCTTAGTCACTATATTCAACACTCTCCACAATGAAGAACATTTGGAGATTGAAGAAATGCATGCAGAAGAAAGTAATATGAACCACAGTTCAGGAACTCTCAGTCTCTGTTGAAAGTTTAGTAATGATTTCTTTCAGTCTTACAGAGCTTTTTCTGATAATAGATGTCTGCTTTAAAAAAAAAAAAAAAAAAAAAAAAGCCCTGGAACAGAGACAAACAAAATCCACACTTCTGGGTCCTCATAAACTATACTTTCTTCCTTTGGTAATTTTCTCATAGCCTTGGGTTTATGCTTTTTTGTCTACATGCACATTTTTTTGATAATATGATAACCTTAGACATGTGTGGGTGGCATTTTGTATTCTTCATGATACTTTGGTGAGATTTTCTCTTGGTAAATTTCCCGCAGAGAAAGAGAGAGAGAGAGAGATAGACCGACAGACAGACAAACGGACAGATTCGTTGACCACAGTTTAATCATTTCAAGCTGTTGGGTGTGTAGGCATATTCTATTATTACTACAAACCAGGGAGCATAAGTGGAGCAGGGTGACAGTCACTCCACTGATGCCAAGGATTTATATTGATACAGTTTTTCTCTGGGTATTGAACAGCTTGCAAATGTTAATGCCCTTTCCATTAGTTCCAAAGGACCCTGGATGTTTTAATTCTGTCCCATGCTTTGGACTGTCTTTTCCTTAGGATCTAAGCGCTCTTCCCACAGCAATGCTTACTTTTATGGCTTCTTCAAGAACAAGAGAATAGTTTTGTTTGACACTCTGCTAGAAGAGTACTCTATGCTAAACAAAGACAAACAGGAGGAGCCTGGCATGGAACCCCGAAATGATGGCGAAGGGGACAGTGAAGAAGTAAAAGCTAAAGTGAAAGTGAGTTCTTTTTTCCTCAGAGACTTTGACTTAGTTTTTATATACAGTTTCTTTGACAGATCATAATAATGCCAGTTTCTTTGCTGTAAGTAGTGTTCACCACAAAATATAATACTGCAATTTTTTCAAGTTCTGCTATTTGGGAGAAGTAAATGACTACCATTATCAATATGCTAAACTACTTTGCAAGCTTTCACAACATTGAAATTAAAAGACCTTATTTTACCAGTCCTGTTACTAGCTCTGTGGGGGGGGGGGTGCACATGCACGCACCATGGCATACATGGAAATCAGGACAACTTGTGGGGGTTGAGTCTCCCCTACCACTGGAGGTCCTGGGGATTGAACTCAGCTAGTCAGGATTGGTGACATTCGCTGTGGGAAGACACGGTTTAAGCCAATAAAAGTCTATAGTGGGCCATCGACTCCACTGTGTAATCTGTAGCCCCGTGTAGTCCCAAGCCTTTTTAGAGTGAACTTTTAAGCACAAAAACCATACCCTGAATTGATGTGCTTCAGCTAACCAGAACAGTTAGCCAGAAGTGGAACTATGGAAGCTAAAGAGCAAGGTTAGTACATTTAGAGACTTCTCAGAACTATGGACTTTGATGGATTAGGTCTTTGTTTTCATCTTGGCAGGTGGTGCTGTCTCCATGCTGAGTTTTATGGCCTGAATGGTACTTCCACCATGGAGTCAGTTGTGTTAAGGTCTGGGGCCCTGTTACAACAATCACCTTTACCCAATGAGCCATCTCATTGACCCGTATTCCTTTTATGCTTATAATCAAAGAATTTCTGCAGACAAAATAAGGAGGTGAACGTTTAGTTTTTAGTGTAATTGAGACATAGCAGTCAGTAGGCTTTACTGGCTTTACTTTGGCAGTAGACAGAACAGAGACCTGGTCCTGTCATTTAGTCACTGAGGAACCTTGGGTACATTATGTATTAGTTTTATTTGTTTTTAACACTTATGAAGTATGTACTTTTTACTGAACGACTTTGCTTGGCATTAAAAATACAAAAGGAGCCCGGGGATGGCGATGCACACCTTTCACCACAGCCCACGAGAGGCGGAGACGAGTGATTAAAGGCCAGCCTGGTCTGCAGAGCAAGTGCCAGGGCTGTCAAAAGTAAAAGCAGGGACTGGGAATGTGGCTCAGTTGGTAAAGGGCTTGCCTAGCATGCACAAAGCCTAATTCAATGCACAGCACCAAAGAAACCAGTCATGATGACTCACACCTGTAATCACAGCACTCAGTAGGTGGAGGCAGGGATCAGAAATTAGAGCTCATTTTTACTTTTGCATTATAAGTTCAAGGCTAGCCTGGGAGATGTGAGATGCTTTCTCAAAATTGGAAAAAAAAAATTTTTTTTTTTTTTGAAGAGTAGTTTAATCTTTATAAACTTAGAGTGTAAAGAGGGAGTGATCAGGCAAACATCCTTTGCTTAGATACTGGAAAGATATATAGATATAAAATGCCAGGGAATATAAGAGAAGGCATTTCTTCCTTTCACTTTTTATTTATACACAGTGTGTATGTGCACACTTGTGTGAGTGTGTGTTTGTGTGAGTGGCATATATGCATGCCATAGCATGTTTCTAGAGGTCAGAGAACAATTTTGTGACATCGATTCTTCTACCTTTTCATAAGTTCCAAGGATCAAAGTCAGGTCCCCAGGCTTGTTGGCAAAGACATTTACCCATCAAGCTCTCTCACTGGCCCAGGAAAACTTTCCTGGGTTTGTTTGTTTTTAAGACAGGGTCTCTGTATGTAGCTCTGACTGCCCTGAAACTCACTATGTAGACCAGGCTGCCTTCAAACTCAGAGATCCACTCCCAAGTGCTGATATTAATGGCCGGAGCTGTCATACCTAGCCCCCCAAAAAACTTTTCTTAAGTTGGACCTAAGAGTCTAAACATATTGCTGGATGAGGTCAGCTAATGCTGACTAGAAAAATTTTAAAGTACTAAGAATGAATAGATGAGGAGGGTAGCAAGAAATGATAATAATCTTTAGAAACAACCCCTAGTGTTTATATGAGGGATTGCATCTGTCCTTGTTTTGGTGTCATGTGAGATGAGTTTAGACCCCTAGTCACTCACCAGCTACATAACTCCAGGCAAGTAATTTAAGCTTTCTGGGTGTTTGATTCCTTCAGGCAAAGGGGAGGCTGACAGCAGTTTTCAACCTCAACATTACTAGATAGTCTTTTTTGTGGCCACTAGAGACGAGTGACACCTCTCTTACCCACTCACATGTTACAACCGAAATACTCCCCAGATGTTACCAGATGTTCTTGGGTGAGAGTGGAGTAGAGTCAGAATGATGCAAGATCTCTCGTGGTTGGGAAATGTTGGTATAAAGATGCTCACCTTTTAGGGTTGCGAGGTGAAATTAAAAACACCCGTGAAATCTCCTGTGCTTTTCCTTTTAAGTTCTGAAAGATAACGATTGTCATTTGAGCATTTGTTTTTATTTTAAAGGGGTTTTTATTTTAAAGCATTTGTTTTTATTTTTATCTAGTAGGTGACTTTACCAGTGATGACTATGTAGATGAGACAGTTTCTGTGCAAGGATTAAATAGTATGGTAAAGGGATTAATGCCTTCAAATTCTAAAAGGACTTATTTGCAATTATGTGTATGAGTGTGTGGGTGGCTGTGTAAGTGCATGTGAATGCAGGTGCCAGTGGAGTCCAGAAAAGGGTGTCTGAGTCCCCTGGAGCTGGAGTTAGAGGGGATTATGAGCCACTTGACGTGGATATTGGGAACCAAACCTAGATTCTCTGGAGATCAGGAATCACTCTTAACTTAGAAGTTAAGACTGTGTGTTGTTTGTTTGTTTTATTAGATTTATTCATTTGTGTGTATGTGTGTGTGTTTATGTGTCTGTATGTACCATGTGCAAGCTTAGTGCCTTCAGAGGTCAGAAGAGGGTATCAGCTATCCTGGAACTGGGGTTATGGATGATATGGGTGTTGGGAATCCAACCGGGGCCCTCTACAAGAACCATAAGTGCTCCTAACTATTAGTCCAGCCCTTGGGTTGTTTGTTTGGGAGTTTTTGTTTTTGTTTGCTTGAGACAGAGTCTTGTGTGGCTGAGATGGCCCAGTGGTTAAGAACACTTGTTCTATGGACTTGAGGACCTGAATTCGAATCTGTGGCAGCTATTTCTCCAGCCCGTTGTACCTGCTTTAATCTTGAAGACCCCTGAGGGGTTTAGAGTACAGGTCTAGTGAGATTTGCATTTGTGCTGCTCCATTTCTTTTTTCTTTTTCTTTTCCTGCTTTTTCTATCAGAGATCGTATTGATTAACTTGAATTTGAGTTTCTTTCTTAAAAAAGTTCGGTTATTACGATTGTATGTTCAGGGCATGGGCATTCACTGTAGTCTATCATATACAGTCCTCTGCTCCTAACAGGTCACTGTGTTTCCTGTCAGTGTTTCCAGTGGAAGTATGCATAACTGTTGCTTGATGACAGTCATCATGAACAGTTTCTATGTCAGAACAAACTTTGAGGATGAAGTTTCTGATGGGTTTACGACGTGGCTGCCAAGTGCTTTCCTTATGACTTGTTGAATGACCCCTTACCTTACGCATAAAGATCTGTGCTTTTTCCAGTGTTTTTTTCTAATCTAAGTTAGTCTAGGGTGTTAAACTTAGTGAAGTTGGAGTCTCTCTTGTGTATAGTTATCTCTTTCGGGGACACCAAAGCCTCTCACATGGAGTGAATGCTCTGTTAAGTGAAGTTCTGTATTAGAGTCTGCTTGTTTAATTAGAATCAATGAAGGGATATTACTGGGTCAATGCTAAAGATACAAATGACTTCAGGGTTGCTAATTGGTTATTTTCCTCTTTTTCCCCTTTGATTCAGAATAAGAAACAAGGATGTAAAAATGAGGAGGTGCTGGCTGTACTTGGCCATGAGCTGGGGCACTGGAAGTTGGGACATACAGTAAAAAATATCATTATTAGTCAGGTAAGTTTGGCGTACTTACAATTATACTTTGTTTTGTTTTGTTTGAGACAGGGTCTCATGTAGCCCAGACTGGCCTGGAGCTCACTATGTAACCAAAGATGACCTTGAACTCCTAGTCCCTCCGTCTTTGCCTTCCACTTGCTGGAACTACAGATAGTCATCATCACTCTGCCTCAGTGACATTTCTGTAAAGGAGTAGTTAGAATGGCAGAAAGGTGAGCATGGTGGTGCTCACTTGTGATCTTAAGTGCTCAAGTGACCCAAGCAGAAAGATGGCAGGTTGATGGAGCTGGTGAGATGGTTGAGCAGTTGAAGGTGCTTGCTGCCAAGCCTCAGTTCAATCCCCAGGACTCACATGGTGGAAGAAGAGAAGCTACTCCCTCAAGTTTCCTTGGACTTCCACACTCCCACTGTGACATGTGTTCTTGTGCACACATGTACATAAGCTAAATCAATCAATCAATCAATCAATCAATCAATCAATCAATCAATAAAAATCTTTAGAAGCTGAAGGCCATTCTAAGTTAGATAGTAATTTCCAGACCAAACTGAGCTACATAGTGAGACTTGGTCTTAAAAAGAAAAGCTAAGCAAGTAAATTAAATTATGACAGTCCCGAGACATTATACAGCAATGGGTCAAGACAGACTTCAAGCCAGGAGTGATTGTACAGGCTTGTAATCCCAGCATTCAGGAAGCCTGAGGCAGGAGGATCTCAATTTTGAGGCCAAACTACCTGACTTCTCTTTGTGGTTGGTTCCCTGAGTTTACATATGTGACCTGAGGCAATTCCTTAATGTCTGTCTGCCTCCATTTCTTCATTGAGTAATATAGTATAGAGCTAGTTAAGAATTAAATGAATAGTACTGGCAGAGTTTGGAATGGACCGGGAGCATGGTGAACATATTATTGTTTATTGCTGTCACTACCATGGCTATCACTTCTAGAATTGCTCAGATACATGAGCTGTGAAAACCAAAAAGAAGCAAAAGTAGGTAAGTTGTATATTAAAATGCTTTTCTAAGGTTAGTGAGATTGTTCAGCATGTAAAGACACTTGCCACCAAGCCTGACAATGTTAGATTGATTTCTGAGACGCGCCTGGTGGAAGGGGAGAGCTAACTCCTGCAGGTTGTCCTTCTGACTACCACATTTGCTGTGGCATACTTGCCACCACAAAAACACATACACATGAAAACAAAAATAAATAAGTCATAAGTATAAAAAATAGACACTATAAACTTGCTCTGTAGACCAAGGCAGCCTCTGCCTCCCGCGTCCTGGGATTAAAGGTATGCACTGCCCTGCCCAGCTTCTATATTTCTAGTTTTTAAAGGTTTTAAAAGAATCTTTTGTAAAATAAAATTTTTAAAAGTGTTTTTTATGATTATTTTATCATATGTAAGTCTGTGTCCATGCATATGGGTATGTGTACTTGAGAGCAGGTGCCCACAGAGGCCAGAGGTATAGGAGCCCCTGGAGCTAGAGTTAAAGGTGGTTATGAGCCACATGATGTTGGTGCTGGAAACTGAGCCCATATTCTTTGCAAGAGCAGCAAATGCTGTTAACCGCCGAACCATCTCTCTAGCCCTAAAAATCTAATTTTTTCCATGAGGGCATTTTGGCACTTCAGCTGGTGCCAGCATAGCTATTATTTTGTATATGTTATATATGAAGTTATGAGATTAAAGGTGTATCCCTTCAATCTCAGCACAGAGGAGACTGAGGCAGGAGGACTGTGAATGTGAGGCAAGACCCTGAGTCTTAGTTAGGGTTTCTGTTGTGATAAAGCACTATGACCAAAAACGACTTGGGAAGGAAAGGATCTATTTCATCTTAAAAATTCTTAAGTCACACTGCATCACTGCAGGAAGTTCAGGCAGGAACTCGGAGGCAGAAGCCATCAAGGAATGCTGCTTACTTGCTTGCCAAGCTTACTTGCTTGCTTACACCACCTAGGACTACCTGCTCAGGGGTGGCACAATTCAGTCCCTTCCCATATCAATCATCAATCAAGAAAATACCCTACAGATTTGCCTACAGGCAATCTGGTGGAGACATTTTTTCATTTGTGGTTCCTCGCCCCAGATATGTCAAGGTTTATATCAAGTTGACAAAACCAACCAGCACATCCTGTGTCAAATGAAACATAACCAAAACTAACCTAAAACTTCTCCCCTCTCATTTAAAAGTTATTATATATTCACTGAAAATTATAGAAAGCATTAAAAAAAAAGGAAACTTCTCAGGTTATTGCTAGTCTTTATAAACCACGTCATTTTTAGGCTCTGGCTGAAACAGCAGTTAACCTTGTTGGCTGATTCTAAGTACATACAGCCTTAAATGAGTCTTGCTTGTATGTTTTTTGAGATAGCCTCTCATAGACCAGGATGGCTTTTAACTTGTAATCCTCCTGCCCCTCATATATGTACATATATATATGTGTGTGTATATATATATATGTGTGTGTGTGTGTGTGTCTGTATGTGACACACACACACATTTTTTTTTCAGGTAGGTTTTTGTTGCTGTGATAACATCATGACCAAAAACAACTTGTGGAAGAAAGGGTTTATTTCATCTTACAGCTTTCAGGTCACACTCTATCACTGAGGGAAGTCACAGCAGAGCAAGAACCTGGAAGCCGAGGATATAGAACAGCTGCCCTCAACCTGGGTAGAGACCCCTTTGGGGCATATCAGATATTTATGTTACAGTTCGTAACAGTAACAAAATCACAGTTAGGAAATAGCAACAAAATAATTTCATGGTGGGGGGTCACCACAACATGAGGAACTGTATTAAAGGGTCTCAGCATTTGGTTGAGAACCTCAGGTCCGTAAAGGAATGTTGCTTTACCGGCCTGCTCCTGCTTGCTTGTGCAACCCAGGACTGTCTGCCAGGCGTAGCACCATCCGTGAGCTGGGCCCTCCCACAGCTGTCGTTAATCAAGAAAATGCACTGCAGGTTTGCTTAGCATCGTAGTAACATACAGTGTTATGTTCTGTTTTCTAGATGAATTCGTTCCTGTGTTTTTTCTTGTTTGCTGTATTGATTGGTCGAAGGGAACTTTTTGCCGCCTTTGGTTTTTATGACAACCAACCCACTCTGATTGGACTTTTGATAATCTTTCAGTTTATTTTCTCACCTTACAATGAGGTAATGTATGCTTTTTAAAATTACCACATATATGTTTATGTCTGTTTTAAGTTTAGACTCTTTAGGGTCGTGTGAAAATAAATCAATAGAGCCCTGCAGCCTTCTAGTTCCTCACTGATTGACTGAGCAGTATAAAGGTAGCAGAGAAGGCTGAGTCTAAGTGCTCGCAGTACTGTTAGGAGGTAGAAGAAGAGAACTGGCGCAATGAAACCTTGACACGCGTACTCCAGAGTGTCAGAGCTGGGGTCGTGTCCTAGTCCATGCTAATCAATGTGGACACGAAAATCTGTGTGTGAGAGGACAGAACAAATAACTGAGTAGGTGACAGCTAGACTGGACAGGACTGTGTGACAGTGTTCCTGATTGTTCGCAGTAACTTCAGGGTTCCTTCCGGTACCCACCAAACCAAAAGTGGCTATTCCACAGGTGAGTAGGAAGCACTCTGGATCAGATCCTTTACTTGTGTTAAGACATGGGTTGATGAGACTGTATTTCAGAGCAGAATCTCGCTGTGTTCGGTAAGGCTTCCAGAAGCTAAGCAGTACTGTTGGTGATCTTGAGAAACCTCCATTCATCCTGAGACAGGTTCTTTTATTATTGTTATTATTAATTACAGTTTATTCACTTTATATCCTGCACCTCCTCCCGAGACAGCTGCTTGAGCAGTGGCTCTTAACCTGTCTAATACAGCTCTTCATGTGGTGACCGTCCAACCATAAAGTTCTCTTCATTGCTACTTTATAACTGGAATTTTGCTACTGTTAGGAATTGTGATGTAAATGCATGATATACAGAGTATCTGATACGAGGCTTCTGGGAAAGGGTCATCCTTACCTCTAACAGTGTGGTGACCCACAGGCTGAGGATCTCGGCTCTAGAGGAAGGGTCATAAGAGAAGTGGCTGTAAAGCGTTATTCACGTGAGCTAAATATATCTTGCAGAGAGCGTGTATTTATTGTTTTTAAATTACAGATACTATAGACTATTTTTGTTTTTAAGATTTATTTTTATTATTTTTAATTGTGTATGATGTTTGTATATGGCATGTACAACTGAATGCAGGTGCCAGCAGAGGCCAGAGTTGGTGAATGCTCCTAGAGCTGGAGGTACAGGCCCCTGGCAGGGTTGCTGGGAATCCAGCCTGTGTGCCTGGAAGAACAGTACATGCTGGTAACTGCTGAGCTCTCTCTCCAGCCCCTGATTGTTGATGAATATATTCATAAAATGCCTTATGCAGTTTGGTGCTTGGACATGATGCAGAGCTGGGTGGCAGCGCACACCTTTAATCCCAGCACTTGAGAGGCAGAGGCTGGTGGAGCTCTTGAGCCTGGTTTACAGAGTGACTTCCAGGACAGCCAGGGCTGCACCTTATAAAACAGCAGCAAAACATGATACAGGATGCTTTTGTCAGTCTCAGATGTCGTGAGGACACTGCACATACATAGTAAATGATCCCAAAACAACTTGCTTTTTAAGAGTTTTGCTAATTTGGCTAATTTTTTTCTTCCCCTTTTGGGCTGATAATATCACTGTGGTTTTCCACTAGTCTGTGTTCAGTTTTCTTTAACTTGATGCCTTTGCCTAGAAAGTCTGACAGCCCAGCTCAGAGGCAGGGCGCAGAAGGAGTGCTCCCGAAGCAGGGAGGAAGGTGCTCCCTCTGAGGCAGGGCTTGGGGTGATCCTGACGTTTTGGCATCTGTTTGGGCTACTCAAGGATTTTTATTTTATTTTATTTTATTTTTGTCTTAGCTCCTTACCCAGTAGTTGAATTCACTTCAAAAATACTGAAATAAACACGGAGTATTAGAGTGGTGTGCAATGTGATTCATCTACAGAGGTCCTAACAACTAATTACAGTCTTGAGTTGCCCAGGAGATGTCTTTCACAGGCGCTGGGTATTTAGCCTGGTGTCTTGTAAGCAGCACCAGAGTTTAAGGGGTCGAATAGGAAAGATACTTTCCTGGCATTGCCCTTTCAAAGCAGTTGGAGGACTAGCCCGTGGTTAGGAGTTAGGCTGCTCTCCTGAGGACATAGGGTTCAGTTCCTGGAACTCACACAAGTGCTGCCTGCAACTCCAGCTCTGAGGGTTCTAACAGTCTGCCATCTGAAGGCTCCTGTCCTCATGTGCCCACCCTGCGTACATACATAATTTAAAATAAACTTTTAAGAAATGTTGGAAACAGGTGGTTACTAGTTTGTTTGCTTATATTTATTTATGTATTACAGCAAAAGTCAAAGACTGGTTGACAAGGGTACTTAAAAGACTTGAGGGATTTTTTTATAGTTCTGACAACTGAACCCAAGACCTCACATGTGCTAGGTGAGCATTGAGATAAAGTTACTAGGGCCAGTGCGTGAAGGTTGGAGTTGCCTCTCCCCCTGCCCTTCCTCTCTGCCTTGAGACAGGGCCTCACTGTGTTGCTAATATGGCTGGCCTCAGTAACTGGAGTGTTAGCTACACACCGCCACATCTGCCTCAGAAAGCCAAACCAAAATGTATAGTCAAGATCTGAAAGAGATTTCATGAAGAATTTGGTGGCAGCAAACATCTCACAAACTTTATTAGGAAACTACTATTTGTTAGTGATACGAGATATATACAGAGAGAGAGTTGTATACATAAGAATGCTTGCCCATGTGTGTGCCTGTGGAGACCAGAGGTTAACACTGGATGCCTTCCTCTGTTGCTCTCCAAGGCCAGACGTTAATATCAGGAATCTTTCTGTGTCCCTGAACCTGGCTGCCCAGTAAGCCCCTGAGATCTGCCTCAACTCCCCCATCCCTAGCACTCAGGCTTCTGATGTACATTTGGCTTTTCAGTGCTGTAAAATCAAACTTGGGTCCTCAGGTACTTTACCCACAGGGCCTTCTCCACAGTCCCAAAAGCAAAAAAAAAAAAGAAAAAAAAAGTAAAAAATATTTTTTTAAAGATGTATTTATGCCTTTAATCAGGTTGGAGTAGGGAGGGGTAGGGGTGATCCTGATGTTTGGCATCTGATTGATTTACTCAAGGAGTTGTCTGTGAGTTGAGGCCAGCCTGATCTACAAAGGGAGCCCAGGACAGCCAAGGCTACACAGAGACCCTTTCTCTAAAAGCAAACACAACAACAACAAAGATGTATTCACTTACTTGTTTTTATCTATGTGTGTGCTCATCTGCATGTACACTTGCATGCCAGAAAAGGGCATCAGATCTCGTTATGTGTGGTTGTGAGCCACCTTGTGGTTGCTGGGAATTGAACTCAGGATCTCTAGAAGAACAGCCACTGCTCTTGACCACAGAGGCATCTCTCTAGCCCCATCACAATATTTTTTGAAATATACGGCATGCCAGTCAATCTGCAACACTTGGGTATACAAAGACCTTTTTTTTTTTTTTTCCCTTTGGTTTTTCAAGTCAGGGTCTTTGTGAACTTACTCTGGAGATATTGACATAGACACACTTAGAGAACATTCAGTTCTGACTCGGAAGGCTGAAGTGGGATGGTGAGTGTGAAGCCAGCTGCATAGCAAGACCAGGTCAATAACAAAACAAAATCTGCAACTGTTGTCAGAGGCGCTGCCATATTTTTACAATAATCTCAGAGAAGACTGTTACTAAAGATAGAATGTTAAAAGTGATCCTGTGGGGCTGGAGAGATGGCTCAGTGGTTAGAGTACTCACTGCCCTTGCAGAGGACCTAGGTTCAGTTTCCAGCACTTCTGTGATGATTCATAACCATCCGTAACTCCAGTTCAAAGGGATCATGAGGCTCTCTTCTGACCTCTTTGGTCACCAGGCAAAACACAAAGTAAATATTTGAAAAAGAAGCTCTGGATGCAGCCAGCGCTTGGGATGCAGGGACAGAGGATGAGGAGTTCAAGGTCAGCCTGGTTTATATGAAACCTTGTCTCAGAAAAACAAAGACAAAGAGTATCAGAGACAGAGTGAGCCAGGTCTGACGCTGGTTTGGACTGGCTTTGGAGTCACCCTTTCATAAGATCTATACCTGTTTCTGGTCTGTTTGCTTGGGGTGGGGAGGCTCAGTTTGACATAGTCCCCCACCTTGAGCCCCCACGTCATAGTCTTTTAGGTTTGGCTTGGCTTTCTCACGTCCTGACTAACTTCCTGCAGAGCCTGGCTCATGAAGACTTCAGTGATGACAGAGGTGCCCAGCGGCTGAAACCTTTGCTTTCCTTCTGCAGGTTCTGTCTTTCTGTCTCACAGTCCTGAGCCGCAGATTTGAGTTTCAAGCCGACGCTTTTGCCAAGAAACTTGGGAAGGCTAAAGACTTATATTCCGCTTTGATCAAGCTAAACAAAGATAACTTAGGATTCCCGGTTTCTGACTGGCTGTTCTCAACGTGGCACTACTCGCACCCACCACTTCTGGAGAGGCTTCAGGCTTTGAAAGACACAAAGCAAGACTGAGCCAGCTGCTCAGGTTCCCTGACTGGACACACGTGCAGTTATTTCTGTCCTGGCAGCATGTTCCAGCTCTTGATGTTTTTAATTTTTTAAGAAAAATGATTAAGTACATAAAAGTCCAGATTTAAATACATTTACTATCTCATTTCAAAAATGATTTTAATAATCCATTTCTTAAAACACTGGATATAGTCTTGAGGCTTAATATTTTTAAAGCAGTTTTATCTCGCATCTGGCTTACCATCAGTTTGTAAAATTATTTAAGGAAATGCACAACTCATTTTATTTCCTCACTGTGTGGAATCTGCATATAGGGTGTTTAGGTCATATGTTTAAAGGTGGAAACACCACCTCCAGGCACTTTCTGCGAGGCAGAAACAAAGCGTGATCCCAAATCATTGTGCTTGTACCTATGTGGAATTTGTTTTTACCTTAATGCTGTTGCGATTTATCTAGCCAATCAGTGTTTTTAAATAAGAAAGAAAAGTAAAAATTAGTAAGGCTAATGCTGCTGAAATGCACGCTGTTAGACATGCTACACTGTTGTAATTGCAAAGTTTTCTGTTCCCTTTCTTGACACACACCAATCAGGAGTCCTCTCCTTTCCTGTTTTTGAGATAAGGTCTTACTCTAACCCTTTCTGACCCCAAATTCATTCTTTTTTTTTTTTTTCCTTTTGGTTTTTCAAGACAGGGTTTCTCTGTATGATAAGCCCTGGCTAGCCTTGAACTCACAGAGATCTACCTGCCTCTGCCTGCCAACTGCTGGAATCAAAGGCACGTGCCACCACACTCAGCTCCCATTGTTTAGCCCAGAATAGCTGGGATGGCCTAGAACCTTTATCAGGCCTCCTGTCCTGGTCTCCAAATGCCAGGATTGCAAGTGTGAGCCGTCACACACAGTTTAGGAGTTAACAATAATGCTTGAAATTAAAAACCTTCTAAATCATTGAGTTTGGGTTTGCTTTCAAGACAGTCTTAATTTTAAACCAGGCTTGATAGCACTTACCTTTAATCCCAGTGATTGAGGCAGAGGCAGGTGGACCTGTGAGCTGAGGCCAAGCCTGGCAAGTTCCAGGCCAGCCAGGGTTACATAGTGAAACTCTGTCTCTAGAAAGAGAGACAGGAAGGAAAAAAGTCTGTCTCAATTTTTATCTTTCCTTCCACCTTACCTTATTAGTGATAATCTAGCCTTCTCTCATTCATTTTTTTCCCCCAGTAAAATAATAGTACATCCTTCTCACTTTGCAGAAGTTGTTGTATTGTAGACATTTCCCAGTGTCAATTGTGGCAGAATATGAAAAAAAGAGATTACATTTGAAAAGATACGAAGGTGAAATATTCATGATTCTCATATAACAGGAAAAATATAGTTTTTTATCTTTTTTCAAGGACAGAAGTGTCTGCTTTTATTTTTGTAATTTTTTTATTCACAAGTCTTAATTAGGCCAGCTTCCATCTTTTTAAAATTATAATTCTTGGTAGGCAGGCAGATGTTTACTTGCAGAGAAAGCATCATAAAAGATTTCCAGTGGGAGAAGGTGCGTGCTTGACTGCCTCTATTGTCTGTCCACGTCCTGGATGAGAATCATCCTGCGCTTGCCGCTGCCAGCGAGTGGGAGCATGCACCTCCTGGGCATTTTCTCCACATGGGACTGACCGTTCGCCGTGATGTCTGTGCCCGCTGCCATGTGAGTGATGCCTTCCCGTGAACTGGCAGAGCTCTAGTTCAGTACTGCATCGTTCATCTCCTACAGCTACGCAAAGCAGCCCACGGTTTCTCTCCAGCATCCTCTCCTGTGACTTCATGCTCAGATAACTGCCTCTCCTTCCTTCTGTGCCTTTAAAACACATTTCAGTTCTGCACAAGTGAGACATTAAAAACTGCCAATGCAGATTTACATCCTGGTGTTGGGTTTGGTGTGATTTGTGCGCCACATGTTACCCAGACGCGCTGGTCACCTACAGAACAGTGCGACCATGGACTTGGTGAGCAGCCCTGAGTTGCAGTGGCATCAGCCCCAGCGCCCCTCAGGGCTGCCTCCCGCCTGTCCAGCAGGCGCATCACCAGTTCTTGCTCACGCTCCCTCAGAAGCAGCATTTGGAGTTATTCCTTCCCCACTGTTGCAACCTCACACTGTCGTGGGCTTGCTTACTGTTCTGGCTGCCCTCTGGCTCCTCTGTCATCCAGATCAATCGGGAGATACCCCTGCGTATTCTGGAGCCACAAAAGCAGGGTTGCCTCTACCGACAAACAGAGGACCACCTGCTGGGCCAGAGCTCCCCTCTGACCCTCAGTTACAGTAAGTAAGATGCAGTGGTCCCCTCTCACTGTAGTCCGTATGTCTGCCCATGCCAGACATACTAACAACGTTTGTCAAGTTGTTGAAGAGAGACTTTCTCCTGAGTTACGGTTCCATGTATTCCAGGCTAGCCTCAACCCCACTGTGTAGCTGAGGATGACCTTGAACTCTGGGATCTTCCCGTTTCCACTTCCTGAGTGCCGGAATCACAGGGCAGCATAAGCCACCATGCTTAGGTGATGCTTGGGACTGAACCCAGAGCTTGCATGTGCTCAACAGGCACTGTGTCCACTGAGGCCCAGGCCAGACTCTACACAGAACATGCTGTCAAAACTGTTCTGTTAGTTACTGTTAACCTCTCACTGGGCCTAATTTAGAAGCTAGACTTCATCACAGGTATGTGTGTATAGAAAAGAATGATAGTGGGACCCAGTGACAGGGCACTGTGGGCATCTGGAGGCCTCTTAGAAAGGGGGAACTATAAGAATAAAAGCCTTGAAACAAGTGAGCAGCTGCACCAGAAGGCCGGAGTGGCAATGGTGAGTGCTAGAGGGACTGGGAGGTAAAGCAGGAAGGACAGGTTTTACTGGACCTTGCTTGCCACTCTGAAATCAGGCTTTGGAGGTGGGGGTGTGTGACTCGGTTGAGTACCTGCCTAGGATGCACAGGGTCCTGGGTTTGAGGATGGAGAGGATTTAGACTTTTACTTGGGTGTGATAGAAAGCCATTGAAGGCTTAGGCCATGGTGTAGCTTCTTAGTCCTACAGGCTAGCCCTGGTTCCTACCGTAGATGTGAGTGCTTGGTGGAATCTGCTCACCCTTGTGACAAGAAATCTTGGTGTTCCCTGGAGTGGTAATTGGGGAGGCACTACAGGGTATGACCAGGAGGAGCCATGTTGAATCTCTGGGGCAGCTGAACCATCTAGCTGTAATGTTCTTTCTGGAAAAATGTCAAGTTTCCTCTGTGTCTGTGTGTCCGTGTGTGTGTGTTACTGAGGACCAAATGCAGGGTCTCACTCATGCTAGGCCAGTGCTCTATCACAGTACCCCCAACATCATTTTGGCTGTTCAAGGTTCAGTTGGGGAGGGTCAGGGTCCTGCTCTTGGTGCAAGCAACTACTGCAACTCTGCCGTACACAGGCTGCCACCAAGTCTCTTTATTCCTAGTTTGGTAACTAGTAGAGTCTTGTTTCTTTGTGTCCTGAATATATTTTTATTAGTATAATAAATACTGCGCACTTACTATATACCTGGCACTATGCTGAAAAGCGGAACAGTGAACAAGAGAGGCCAAGTTCCTTCCTAGAGTTTCTATTCTAGTGTCTTAGGTCAAACAGAAGCACTAAGGAGAAACAGGCAGCCTCGGATGGGGTGTCTGCAGTGCCGGGAAGGGTGGGGTCACTGTTAGGCCAAGGGTGAAGCAAGGTGCTTGGAGTAAGGATAGTTGGTGGAGCAGCATTTGCAGCAGCAGGTACAGCATGTGTGTGGCACGGCGTGCTTGAGCAGCCCAGGGAGTATCATGGCTGGAATAGGATGGACTGGGGCCAGAGCATGGGGGTGCATTCAGAGAGGTATGCGGGAGACTCATCACATTGATGTGATCAGAGAGAAATGCACCGCCAGGAAGCTGCAGAAGGCACAGACCACTGGTGCTTAGGAATTTCAGAACTGAGGTGCAATTGAGTACGATTTGTGAACCCTCAGTTTCTCTTATCATTAAAACCATCCAGTGTGTCCTACTCACTAAGTCACAGAGGGGACCAGGGAGGGCTCCTAAGCCAGCACATGAAGAGACATCAAGGAGTCGGGATCTCTCTTGGCACCAGACCAAGTATGGAATCCTGTGTCTCAAGAGAGAGCCACTGCCACCACCCATGCCCTATGGGTACCTGAGTGTCTGCTCAGGGCCAAGGCAGCCAGCCCTCTTCCCTTCATTAGGCCCCAGATCCTCTGTATTCCAGGGCTCCTTGGCAGCCACACACTCTGTAGGCACTGGGGTGTCACAACAGAACCGGCCGAAGCACTAAAGATAAAGCAACTTTGGTGGGCCTGGGTGCTACCACACCCAGTACTTCCAGCTGACCCCAGCTTGTGGTGAAGGGGCTACTAAGTCCCTGATGGTAAATGTGTGTTGAGAGGAAACTGGTGAGGACAGTGTCAGCAGGTGGCAGAAGGCGGGCCTTGGGCTGCAGTGCTGTGTGCCTCCAGAAGGGGGTGAGATGCAGAGTGCTTCATTTGGGGACAACACACGCCCAGATCGATACCGAAGCAAACAAACGAAAATTAGCCATCTATACTGGCTAGGTTTATGTCAACTTGGCACAAGCTGGAGTCATCAGACAGGAGGCAGTCTCAATTGAGAAAATGTCTCGGGAGTAGGCAAGCCTGTAGGGCATTTTCTGAATTAGTGATTGATATGGGAAGGCCCAGCCCATAATAAAACTGACTGAGCAAGCCAGCGAGCAGCATTCTTCCCTGACCTCTGTATCAACTTCTGTCTCCAGGTCCCTGCTTTATTGACCCTGTCGTGATTTATTTTGATAATGAACTCTGATGTAGAAGTGTAGGCCAAATAAACCTTTCCTTCCCAGGTGGCTTTGGTCCTGGTGTTTCATCACAGCAATACTAACCCAGACTAAGACACCAGATAATTTCAAAAGCTCCTGGCTGGCCAATAGAACAATGGGCAGCGGTAGACAGACCAGACACAAGCCAGTGTCCCTTAGCGTTTTACACACATCCCCGCCCCCTCGCCCCCCCCCGCCCCCCCACGGAGCACAGGGGCCACTGGGGTGTGATTTAGTTGGTAGAATGCTTGCCTTATCTACAATGCATGAAGCACTGGGTTTGACCTTCAGTAGCACAAAGACAGTGTGGGGGTGAACACCTATAATCCCAGCAGAAGGTAGAGACTCAGAAGTTCAAGGTCATCCTCAGCTATATAACAAGTTCAAGGCCAGCCTGAATACATGAGTCAAAAAGGGAGGGAAAGAGGTAAAGGAAGGGGGAAGGGAAAGAGGAGAGGGGAGGGGAGGGGAAGGGAGGAGAGGGAGAGAGAGCACCCTGGCATCCCAGTGAATGTGGTAGACTCTTCACACATGGCATGCCTAAGCCTTTGTCACCACTGTACAAAGAGGCTTAAGAGGTCTGCCCATAGTTACGTGGTAGATCAAAACCAGGGTTGAGCGTCCTGATCTTGACCACCACACAAGTTTTTCAAGGAGGCCGGCCATCCCAATGCTCACGACTTAAGATGTGCCCACGTGGAGGGCTCAGATTTTGCCTCCCCTTTGGGAGCCCTCCAGCAGTGGAGACTCAGCAACAACTTCCCATCCTCATCTACAAGACATCAGTTTGTAACCAACTTGGGGACTTTTATTTGCAGGAAGGCCAGACTGGGTGTGGGCAAAGGGGACTAGGAAACAGTGATGGGTGTTTAACTGCTCGGATGGGAGGCAGAGAGGCAAGAGTGAGGCTAGCCTGGGGGTTGCCTGCCACCTCAGGCCCTTCACCCTCAGCAGATACTCAATAAAAAAGTCCAGAAAGTAAGAATGGGATGAGGACCATCAGAAGCCTCAGCCCACGTGCTGAGGGTGGGACGGCCGGTGCGGAACGGCATGGATGAGGGATAGACAGTTTGTACTCCGGGAAGAAAATCTACCCTCTTCCCTTGAGAGTAGTGGCTCTTCAGTACTTGCTCTGTAGGCCTCGCCTTTACTCCAGTGCTCTCCCTTCCCCGACCCCTCCCTCACTGAGCTTGTCTTCAGGATCCCAGAGTTCCAGACAGGCTCCTGAGGAATCTAGCCCCCTGGGCTGAGACTGGGGTGCATGTCCACCCAGAGGTGATCCTGCATGCTAGTGGGCTCTGTTCTGGCTGGTTGGCTCATGGCCCCTTGATGGACCCAGGCTCTGTGAGGCGAGCAGAGGCATAGGCTGAAGCTCCCAGGCAGGCGGCAGGCTCACAGAAGCCTGGCAGCCCCATGGGTCCTGGCAGGCCAGGTCGGCCAGCCTCTCCTGGGGCTCCTGGGGCTCCTCGGTCTCCATCTTTGCCATTGATTGCCTGGCCAGGTCGGCCAGGAAGACCTGGGAGGAGGAGAGGACAGGCATTGGGAAATCGTTCAGGCAGGAAAATCAGGCCACAAATTTGATGGGAGGAAGGCACAGATGCTGCCCGACTCAGTCCCAGCTGCCAGCCAGACCCCCCCAGAGACTCAGACCTCCCGGAGACTTGTAGGTGCTCTCGTGCCAGGCTGAGTGCCAGGCTTCCACGAAGAAAACCCAGGTGTCCATAGATCATCAACCCCCACGCTCAGAGACAGAGGGTGGCTGAACTGGACCCACGTGTTACCTGGGATCCCTGGAGGGCCAGGCATCCCGGGATGCCCATGTCCCATGTCTCCTCGATCACCCTTCTCTCCGCGCTTTCCTGCAGACAAAAATAAAAAAAGGGGTGTCTTTCCCCAAACGGACAAATACTTCTCCCGCTATTTAATTTGTTTCCCACGCAGCAGCTGTGGCAGTATACTAATGGAGAAAGTTGAAAAAGGACCACAGAGGGCTGGTTAGATAAAGGGAGGTCCAGAGAAAATGTGGGAGGTTA